TTTCGTCCAATGGAGGAAAAAAACCGTTTATCATGTAAAGTTCAAATTAAAAAAAATATAATAAGTCTGTACTTGTTTACCCGTCCAGATTCACACATTTTGTGAAGTAAATATGTATCAAACATAAAGTTCAGATAACGTCCATACAAAATTGACATGTTCTCATGAAACATAAACACTTCACAATGGTATCAATTCTAAAATACAGCTCGTGCACTTTATAAAACTATGTTTAATTTGCTCTAACAATAAATATGTAAATATATATTTCTCGATCTAATACAAATTAATTTAACTGTGGAGGACGTATCAGCTTTTATTGTATCGTCAACATCGTAAAGAGTGGGATTTTTCAAAGATCATTTTATCACGTGCTGTATAGGAAAAATAAAACGCTAACTCAAGATACAAGCAGGATGGATTATTCACCGAAACAGAATCCACCATGCGTAGCAGGCAAAAAATAATAATATATGAAACTCAGTGATGACACAATGTGCTCGCGAAAAAGGTTAACAAGTCTTGCCCTACCGGTAGCACCCTAGTCTGCCCTACCGGTAGCACCCTAGTCTGTCCTACCGGTAGCACCCTAGTCTGTCCTACCGGTAGCACCCTAGTCTGCCCTACCGGTAGCACCCTAGTCTGTCCTACCGGTAGCACCCTAGTCTGTCGTACCGGTAGCACCCTAGTCTGTCGTACCGGTAGCACCCTAGTCTGTCCTACCATAGCACCCTAGTCTATCCTACCAAAGCACCCTAGTCTGTCCTACCATAGCACCCTAGTCTATCCTACCAAAGCACCCTAGTCTGTCCTACCGGTAGCACCCTAGTCTGTCCTACCGGTAGCACCCTAGTCTGTCCTACCGGTAGCACCCTAGTCTGCCCTTCCGGTAGCACCCTAGTCTGCCCTACCGGTAGCATCCTAGTCTGCCCTACCGGTAGCACCCTAGTCTGTCCTACCGGTAGCACCCTAGTCTGTCCTACCGGTAGCACCCTAGTCTGTCCTACCGGTAGCATCCTAGTCTGCCCTACCGGTAGCACCCTAGTCTGTCCTACCGGTAGCACCCTAGTCTGTCCTACCGGTAGCACCCTAGTCTGCCCTACCGGTAGCACCCTAGTCTGTCCTACCGGTAGCACCCTAGTCTATCCTACCAAAGCACCCTAGTCTGTCCTACCATAGCACCCTAGTCTATCCTACCAAAGCACCCTAGTCTGTCCTACCGGTAGCACCCTAGTCTGTCCTACCGGTAGCACCCTAGTCTGTCCTACCGGTAGCATCCTAGTCTGCCCTACCGGTAGCACCCTAGTCTGTCCTACCGGTAGCTCCCTTGTCTGTCCTACCGGTAGCACCCTAGTCTGCCCTACCGGTAGCACCCTAGTCTGCCCTTCCGGTAGCACCCTAGTCTGCCCTACCGGTAGCACCCTAGTCTGTCCTACCATAGTACCCTAGCCTGTCCTACCATAGTACTCTAGTCTGTCCTACCGGTAGCACCCTAGTCTGTCCTACCGGTAGCACCCTAGTCTGTCCTACCGGTAGCACCCTAGTCTGTCCTACCGGTAGCACCCTAGTCTGTCCTACAGACCCTGAAACAAATATATCTAGTAGAACCCATGCAAGACTATCATTGTTTGCAAGTTTAAATGGCTGTTTGATATCTACTATCTATTATTGTCAATGTTAATTTGTTGCTTATTCCATGTCTCATCACTTGGTCGTTGTCCTCCAGCTTTATAACGGTGAAATAATCAACAGAGAAACGTCGCTGTATGCAATAAACCTGCGCACCTGTGACATGGGTGTCATGAAACTAGAACATAGCAATGATTGAAAACGTGGTATATGATCCCAAACCCAGTTAACACTGATAATCTGATTACTTAAACCGGAACAAATATACGAGCATACATAAATTATGCATAGCTTTTGTATGATAGTAATTGAAAATAATGTATAATGTGTAATGTATAAGCAGATGCAGCTGTCTCCATGACTGGCTAAGGACATGAAACTAAACTAATGTTACACAGTACAGCATTATTAATGCCTATTTTAGATCTCTGTAACTAGGGATGTCAGTCGATGTTATCTGAGATAGTATACATACACAAACACCTAGACACAAACACAGACACAGACACATATACTGACGCACTATTTCACACAAACACATACGCAAACACACACAGACACACACAGGCACACATTCTATCTCACAAACACATACACACTCAAACTCTCTCTCTCACACACACAGCCCCTCCCCCCCCCCCCCCCCCCCCCCCCAACACACACAGACACACACTGACACACTCTCTGCCACATGCATGCACTCTCACACACACAGACACACCACACACACAGGCACAGAGACACACAAGCAAACAGGGACACAAACACACACACACACTGACACATTCTCTGACACATACACACACACACTCTTTCACACACAGAGACCACGACCCCACCCACCCACCCACCCACGCACTCTACCTCTTTCCACACCTCGTTCTTACGAGATAAATTCACCTGTGGTGGCGTGCCCTAAAATGACACAAAAGAGTACCAAACAAAACCAAGTACAACAGAACACAAACCATTCCCACAACAAAACAAACAGAGCACAAAGACCATAACAATCACAATAAACAATAACAAATCCCAAAATAATTAAATAAGATGGCCAAAAATGAATTGCACTATCTAACCCTTGTTGCGGCGCAAACATAACGCTCAAAAAACGCCACAAAATACACGCGCGCGCACAGCACCGGGGAACTGCTGACATCAAAAACACCACCAACGCTCTGCAAGGTCTGGACCCTGCCGCGCGACTACCAAAAATCCACTGAAACATCAAAAAAAAAGCAAAATTCGAGCTAACCCTAGTTAACCCCTAGCCCATTAGGCATAGCCCTAACCATACCCAATAGCTCGATTTTTGACTCTAAACCTTGCTAAGTACAGTTTAGATCAAAATGACCCAAAACGAGCCAAACCACGGTGAAAAAAACGTCTTTTTTCAAACTCCAACATCCTCCTAGGGCCACCCAAGGCCATTTCTTCCTCTTTCTACACCACAAACCACTCCCACAACAAAACAAACAGAGCACAAAGACCATAGCAATCACAGTCAACAATAACAAATCCCCAAATAATTAAAAAACATTGACAAAAATGAATTGCACTATCTAACCCTGATTGCGGTGCTAACAAAACGCTCAAAAAACGCTACAAAACGCACGCGCGCGCACGACAACGGGGAACTGCTGACATCAAAAACACCACCAACGCTCTGCAACGTCCCGACCCTGCCGCGCGACCTCCAAAAATCCACGGAATCATCAAAAAGATCAAAATGGAGCTAACCCTAGCTAACCCCCTAACCCCCTAGGGTTTGCCCTTAGTATATCCGTTAGTTCGATTTTCGACTCTAACCTTAGCTAAGACAAGTTTAGCTCAAAATGACCCAAAACGAGCCAAACTAGGGTGAAAAAAACATCTTTTTTTAACCTCCAACCTCCAAACGCACACTCCTAGGGGCACCCAAGGCCATTTCTACCTCTTTCCACACCTCAAACCACTCCCACAACAAAACAAACAGAGCACAAAGACCATAGCAGTCACAGTAAACAATAACAAATCCCAAAATAATCAAATAAGATTGACAAAAATAAATTGCACTACAGAAAATGCTAAATAAAATATTTATGCTTCAGACTGTTGAAAGAAAATTAGACAATCTGCGACAAAAAGACCAATGTTGCAAAGTGTTTATTTTTAGGATCATAGTTTTAATCAGAAAAAAACAGTATCTGGTTATGCAACCGCAGCTGAAAAGAAAATACCTGCACGTAGTCTCCATTCAATTCAGATAAGGGTTCTCGATAATGATTATACCTAAGTATGAGCCTCATAACACCCATAACATCAGCTGAACGATCTAAAGATAGAACCATTTTGACACACACTGTTGTGTTACATTCAAAGCCATCTGAGCCAGGGGAGGGCGTGACAGAGAAGAACGCTGTTGACAAGGCACGCTGACCTTCTCACACACCACAGCAGGTCTGACAACAGGTAGTTGATCGTTTAGAGGAGAACTGTAAGCTGATATTACAGTGAATGTTTTACGATTTGTGTCCAAATCCGATTTTGTCATGAACTTACGATTCATTCTTCTGTGATATGGATTGTCCAACACAAAACCGGGAATTTAGATTCAGGTGTTGTTCTGATCGCTTAATCTAAGGCTTATCTTAGGATGGTTCTTATTGGGGACTCGGCCTTGGTATAGCATTCCTGTGTTTGAACCAGCCCTTATATTATGAAAGGCCTGCCGCTTCTTTCATTATTGCAAAACTTCTACCACAAGCCCCGACTCTTAATAATGGACATACGGTTTACCCAAACGCTAATTAAATGCGATCATTATCTTTGTGTTTCATATTGGTACTATTTAGACACACATATAACCATGAATGTTAACTGTACCGTATTTAGTTAGACTTAATATCAATTCTAATTTTGCCTAGAATTTTATAGGCTGCTGTTAGGAGTTCTGTTGTGTAGCTTTTAGAAATAAACATACAAATACTTCTTCACGCACATTGAGTGAATGGCGGGTGCTACCGCTAGGACAGAACATGCTTACCCTTTTTCGCGAAAACCTGGTGTCATATAGTTTTCTAAGCTATTTTTCCTTTTACGACCGAATATGTTTCGGTGGTTATTCGAGACTGGTTGATCTCTGGCGTAGCGTAGACGTTTATATTTACACAAATTTCTGTACACACAGTTAAATAGCAATGCCGTCAAGATCCTAAGATCACATTAACGTTTGCCATGTAGAATATTAAAAGTATGAATTCTGAATTCCAAAAACGTATTTGTCCTAATAATGAACATCAAGATCTTACAACACTATTAACCTCATGCTGTGCTTTTATATCAATACATGATTACCCCGTTGTTCCTTTACAAACAGTGAAGACGCTACTGTGACAAGGATGCACACGGACGCCATCATTGAGGCTGTCGGGGGCATGTCCCGCTTCCAGATCCTCATGGTAGTCTTCATATTCTGTCCAAGGATGCTTATGGCGTGGGGGATGTTGATGATGTCGTTTGCTGGGACTACTCCAGATTGGTGGTGTCTCCCAGCTACAGCGCCCTCTGTTGATGAGACCGACTACATGAACAACGTCACATTGAAATTATGTCCTACCTCGGACAACATCACCTGTCAGGTTGTGTACAGCCAGGATAAAAACACTATCGTCAGTGAGGTAGGTAACCTTAATTCAGCCTCCATTCAAACTTGTGTTAGAAAATAAGGAGTGTTCACTTTGATTGTAGTTTAAAATAACACTAAGCAATATTACAGCTATATGACAGCTTCATGCATTGAATAGAATCTGGAGAAAGACAAACCAATGATTGATATTATGAACAACGCCCAACACCTTCTGGTACGTTGCCATGACAAATCAACTGAGTCACCCACATGACGACCAAATGATTGTTACCTCTTTCCTGATAAGCTTGTGGATTTAATCAAATTGGTAAACGTCTGAGACCTGCATCACTTCGAACTTTCCTCCCTCTTTTAGCTGACACGCAATGATATAACAAAAATACTGTTGAAACGGCGTCACCCATTCACAGTTGCGACAAGCATGGGTTGACTGGGGACCTTCTCTAATAGGAAATCCGGAAATCGTTGTCGCTCGTTCAGATTGCATAGAATGGTATTGTAAAATGATGCTTCTATATGAAAACGCATATGGTGTGCTCTGCTGCTTTCGCTGATTTGTCTCGTCCATACTCGATTATTCAAAGACTGGCGCGACGTGTTGAGTGCGACGTCAAACTAACAGATATGCATTGATTTCTTCTTTCAGTGGGGTTTGATTTGTGACCGCAAAGAGGGCAATCCTCTCGTCACATCAGTACAAATGGCTGGAGTCTTTGTTGGGGCCTTGCTTGGCGGACAGTCTGCTGACGTCCTCGGTCGGAAGTGGACTTACTTCGTCTGTCTGGTCCTTCAAGGTGGATTCAATCTAGTGGCAGCATTCTCCGTCAACTGGCAGATGTTTACGGTGTTGCGTTTTCTCATCGGGATGATGACAGGCTCTCTTCTGGTGGTGTGCTACCCGTATTTCATTGAGTTCGTTGGAAAGAAATGGCGATCACTTGCATCTGCAATTCCAGTCTGGGTAACTGGTTTATGTGCATTTGCCCTGTCCAGCTGGTTGAGGCCTGACTGGTCTCATCAACACATCATATTGGCGGCCCTTCATCTGCCCTTCTTTGCGGGTTGGTTGTAAGTATCTCAAGTCGAGAGTGAGACACTGTCAGAGCCTCCAACCTCCAACCCACGAATGGTTGACTCCTAAGCCTTTAAGCAAATGCTGCATCATTAGCATCCAAAATATGTCAACAGGATAATCATACACTATTGAAAAAGAAGTTTTGCATGAACTTGCACTTTTTTAACTAACTATACTCCCTTCAAAACAACAATATAGTCTGAATATTTTAAACCCCATTCAGCAATATACCAGCTATATGACAGTGGCCAGTAAATAATTACATCTGGAGTGGACTTAGCAGTTATTGGGCAAAGATATGAACCGCTCTGTGGTGTAGTGGTAGACCGTCCGCCCGGAGAGCAGATGGTCCGGGGTTCGACGTTGGAAGATTTGTTGTACTTGTTGTTATCCTGTCTGGCGCTCTGCATTAAGGAGCTAAAACAAGGACTGGTCGACTTGGAATAGGTATACTGTGTCTGAATGGGGTATTCATGCTAAATTACGGCCTGGTATCCCAGTGGGCTAGCACTATAAATCGGCATCAGACCGGACTAGTACAGGCAGCCACACACACACACACACGTGCATGCACGTCGCTATATAAGTGCAATAATCTTGGACGCGATGTTCAACCCAATTTCACCTCACCACATTGTGCGTAGATAGCAGTCAATCAACAGGTCGCCAAACCTGACCACCTGATCCGTTCAGATCGCCTCCGTGGTCAACTGGATAGAGCGTCTGCACAGAGAGCGGAAGGTCAGTGGCCCGATCCACTGCAGCGTCATAGCATACGAAGTCAAACGACGGTACTTGTTCTTTCCCTGTCTGGGGGTCAGCATTTAGGGGATTAATAACAAGGACTATTCGGCTGTGAGATGGTATACTTTGCCAGAGTGGGGTAATTGTGTCAAACTTTGGCATGGTATCTCATTAGGCCTAGGACGATAATACCGGCATTTCTTCGCACTAGTACAAGCGGAAGCATCTGTAGGTCAGGTGACGGTGTCTACATCTCGCAAAAAGTTCATCAGTGCCATACGTACATGCATGTCACTGTATAAGTACAACAACATTGAGCGTGACTAAAAAACATTGATAAACATAGCCTGCAAGGGCCCCTTTCTCTGAATCACCACTGGGTCTAATATATTTATCTTGCAGATTCATTTAATATGCATTACAGGTATCCCAAGTTCATCAAAATTTGCGAATTTGGAAATAGAATGCAAAGCCATTGTTAACGTGTTCCACCTGACTCTTACCTATCTATTTTGGACGCTGCCAGCTTTGTCCCAGAGAGTCTGCACTGGTTGGCTGTAAAAGGGCGGACTGATGAGGCTGAGAAGGTCGTGGACCAGATGAGTCGATACAACAAGAGAGAGAAGCCCACCAACACACTGCAGCTGCTGAAACAAGTGGCAGAAGAGGAGCAGAAACTGAGGGCGTCTGGCAGCAAGTACACGTACCTTGACATCTACAGGGGCTGGAGCATCTGCTGGAAGTCTCTCATCATACAGTTCGTATGGTAAGTATAGTGAGTGGGTTTTAAAAAGAGTTAATCTGTGATTCGAAGCTCTGATCAACGGATCCTGTCACAACAAGGTACATTACACAGATAATTAGGACAACTCAGACTTCAGGGCCTAGATTTTTGAAACGATCTTAGCTGAGATAAATCTTAACAACTTACGTTCAAAGATTAGATATCTTAAGTTTAAGATACGATAGTGTTTGAAAACTATCGTAAATCTGTCGCAGATCGTTAAGAGCTACGATACCTATCGTAACTCTGACAGAGAACTCATTTGTGTTAGAGATTGAAAAAGCGGGGTGTTTCTAAATGACGCCTAGGGCATTTCCAAGCCGCTAGCAATAACAACATGGCGAAGTGAGACGGAATTCATGATGATATTGTTAGGTCACACTGTTTAACACTCAACTGTTTCAGTGACATTCCGTACAATCCTAACTATGTCCTACATGTAGACATTTTGTTCTTATGATAAAAAAAAATGTCATGACCATCCGAACATAAATAGCTTTCGTGTTCAATGCAAAGACAATTTTCAAGCCAAATAAATGTTATAATCAATAAGTATTGTTTTACTACAAATGCCTCTAAAAGAAGTTAATCGCAATTAGAATTTAAATAATGTGCCCAAAGATACTTCACTATTTTCCCTTCCAATGGGGCGGTCGGGTAGCCTAGTGGTTAAAGCATTAGCTCGTCACGCCGAGGACGATTCCCGACATGGGTACAATGTGTGAAGCCAATTCCTGGTGTCCCCCGCCGTGATATTGCTAGAAGCGGCGTAAAACCTCACTTTCTCACTCACTCCATTGGTCCTCTCGCGAGCGCGCAGAACTTTATATAAACACATCGCGTCAAGTCACTGACGAAAGTAAGGGACGTTATTCTAAATGACATTGACGAGACCTTTGATCTAACAGCAGGCGTTCAGCATTCAAGATGCGTGTTCAAGTCTGACTATACGTAATGTATACTGGATCAGTTAGACAATACTGCATGTTTTTGTGTGTTTATGTCAAGCGTCAAATTTTTTAAAGAGAAAACACCAACATTATACCTGGAAACACTCAAAACTGTTCAGGAAGCAGCGCACCCACGAGCGAGCTATAATGACAATGAAACTTAAGTTTGTTTGTTATTTATTTTTCCAATGTATTTCACGAAAAAAACAAGGTCTCAAAAACAATATCAAATTATTTGTATTGAGATTGTTTTTTTTCCAAATTTGAAAGTGAAACAAATTTTTATTCACAATCATTTTAGGAATGGTCAAGTTGTGTTGTCTTATGGAACAGCCACAATCTATCATGAACATACATATAATGTAGTCCTTTACTATCCTTTTAAATTAAGCCGAGATAAAAAAATGATTTATCTGATTTCATTTAAATCTAGCTGAGGAGCGAAATATCTACATTGTAAATGTGTGAAATCTATTCCCGAACGAAGTTCAATGACGTTTGGCTTGTTTGACAGCATTCCTTAGGGTTATTTAATAATATTTGTCCGGTGACCCTATCCTTCATAATGATTTTTTTCTGAATGGTCTCAAGTATTTATTTTTATTGTAAGAATAAAACAGGTAAGTGTACATGTACATTTAAAATTGGCCAACATCAAATCAATATTATTTTAAAATCGGTCCATTGAATTCAGAGATTATTGTGTTGAAAATGTATTTTATATATTGATCAGTAAATTTCATTCAATAAACATTTTCTGCGAAAATATATTGGAAATTGAATTTTGGACAATGGTCAAATGTTACATTTTGACAACAGCATGGGAACACATTTTTGATTTTTCAAATCACAATTCAAGAAAATAAGATACAAAAATATGTACTTAACCTCTACTGTCAAAATATAAATAATTTGCTATATTTAATGGAATACATCTTTGTTGTTAATCACCTGTTTTTAAGGAATGCAATTGTTCAATAGACGATATTTAATCTCGTTTTATCATATATATGGCGTTGTTTTTAAAACGAAACAAAATACAATTACATTACATTACAAAAAACATTGAATATTCTCTTTTTACAAATATATTACACATATATTTGATCACATGTATTTCCTTGCTAAATCAATAAATACTACACTGTATAGTTATTTTAAATAATTGAAACCGCTCGTCCCACACTATTTTAGATGTAAAAATTGGTGAGAAACGCTTATGGTTTTGCACTTCTCACCTACGGAGATTGATATAATTTTATAAAATGTGAAAATAAAGACTATAACATTGTCACATATAAGGTCCAGAAAATATAAAAGCGGAACTCTGCGCTTTATAAAAACTGTCGCGAATACAAAGGCAAACCACTCTCAGTTGGAGTATCAACTAAGATTAGCTGCACCTGGGTTATCAATAAGGTCAAGGTCATTACTATAGCCTGCCGACACCTTCCATTGTTATCCTTCCCAAATTATCCAAAAGGCATGTTGTTTCACACTTCTTCAGCATGGACTCAGATAGAAATATATTGTAAGCTATCGACTCCATAGTTATGTGGATTGCTGTTACAATCAACAACATTTCTGAAATCTTTGATGCGTTCTTCGTGTTTTCGAAGTGTCAATTTGAATCACACAGTTTTCACAAAATGAAATGTCAAGGTTTGAACGGAAAGTAGATTATTTGTGTGAAAAATATCTTAGGCAAAGTATGCCGCCATCTTGGATAAAGGTGGAAAAAGCCAACAACATGTACTTTCAACTAACTTAAGATATCTTTGGGCTACGATAGTTTCGAAAATATTCTACGATAGCCTACGATTTCCTTACAATAACTTCACCCTTAATTTTAGGGCTACGATTGTTCTTTAGATGGATCGAGAAGAAGCATTCGATTTGTTGTTTGTTATTTCTCAACACAGGAACTACAGTTCTCCGACCATATCAAAAGCATATTTTGGTCGTCTTGATTAACGAAAACAATATTTATTAAACTTCAGGGATATGAAAATAATAATGTTTTTCAGGGCGTGTCTGTCGCTGATGTACTATGGGATTTCGTTCGGTGCAGGGAGACTCGCAGGCAATCTGTATCTGAACATTTTCCTTCTGGGAGTGGTGGAAGTGCCAACTACTGTGTTGACTTTCTTCACAAACAACAAGTAATCTCATCTCTAGGTGTATTTGTTTGCATGTTATTTAACGGCATATTCAGTATTATTCCAGCTATATGGCCTGTACATCGATCCTGGCCCAGGACCAGCAGAAGCCTGACCAGCAGATCCATGAGTCGCTTTGTCAGACAAACACAAGTTGTTGGCAATGTGTTCTAAAGCTGACTCGAGGCCATGGGTTGCCCAGTCTTCTAAAGCACTGCAAATCGCTGTACAGAGTTGCGTCCCCTGGGCACGCCAAAAACCTATGATCGTGGGTTCGAATCCCGGTTCGCCCTGGATATGTTTCTGGGTTTGTCAGCACCATCTCCGTGCTGGTGGGTTTCAGCGAAGTGATAAACGTCTGACACCTGAATCAATGCAGGCTTTGCTTCCACATCAAGCTGACACGCCGTGATATAACTTGCATACTGTTAAAAGCAGTGTGGAACACAACTCACTCACTCACTCTGTCTTCCAACGGGTATAATCACAAGATAAAACTGTTTCTCCCAACGTTGAAACATCTCATGTTGTACGAATAAGAGATCAGCGGGTACTTTTTATTGTTTTTATAAATCGTTAGACTGGTCTCAAGACAATAGCATTGACACATGTTGTGGAATTAGAATTAAATTCACCTCGTGGACAGATGTTGACATCTTCATAACTGAAAATGGACGCATCTTTCATATTTAAAGAAGGTTTCAAAGTCGAGTTGAAAAAGAAACAAGTGGACTTAATGATTCTATCAGCTACCATTTTCTAGGAGATAAAGTGTGGTTTGTAACATCCTTATTGTTTATACTACGACGTTTATTCTCGACAAATCTTTACGGCATCTATCTGAAGAAGTGAGTTGTCCCTTAGAGTACATATATAACGCAATTGCCAGAGAATAACCTGTCACGATTAAACACCGAAACAGATACCTTTGGGAGTAAAAGGCAATGTAACGGCGAAATTATATGAATAGATAACTAAAAATCAGTTATGACATCAGGTGTCCCGCGAAAATGGAACGCACTTCCTGCCCAACACATCCACATTTTCAAAGAAGAATGTGGGTTTCTTTTCAGTCTTCTCCCCTTCTGGCAGCTTCGGCTCTAAATTGTGTACGACAAAGGTTGTGTAAACAGTGCTGTCGGTGGCTTCACATTACTTCCAGACAGTATGGCTATTCTTGTATGTTTTGTAATGAATCCAGCTCATATATTCATATACATGTACACGTACAATACTAACATCATGTCCGTTTGTTAGGTAAACCTCATTTCTCATGCTTGAAATATTGTTGATAAGACGTTACGTTTGAACTCGTTCACTCATTAACCTCATTGCTTATGTTTCGTAGATTTGGTAGAAAATGGACAGCGGTTGGTTTCTTTGCTGTTGCCACTTCCGCTGCTTTTGGTGTTGCAATCATTGCAAAAACAGGTGTGGATTTGTAACGGCAAAGTTCATTTGTCCGTCCTACTCTCATGAATTGAACTGCATGACAAATTAATATGTGCTAGTGAAATATGATTTAGGAAAGGATCTGTAGTTCGCCTCTTGAGTCCTACACATCAGTGCATTGTTGACTCCAGTAGATGTCATACTGGAACAAGTAACTGTCGCCTTATTTGTAACATCATTCATGACGTTCTTCTCTACAATTCAGTCAGAAGTGGTAATCGATTTATCTTTGTTATCAACATGGTCAATGCCGTGAATGTGAAGTCGTGTTTGATTTAGCTGTGCTCTCAATATGATTAATACTGTGAATTTGAAGTGATGTACGATTTAGCTGTGCACGAACATTAATCAGTTTCGTGAATATGAAGTGGCGTGCCAGTTAGTTGTGCTGTCACATTTTTCAATACCGTAAATATGAAGTTATGTTCGATTTAGCTGTGTGCTCTCAAATAAATCAATACCGTGAACATGAAGTGGTGATCGATTTAGCTGTGCTATCACATTAATCAGTACCGTGATTATGAAGTAATTCTCTATTTAGCTATGCTGTCAAAATAATGAATACCGTACGTATGTTTCAGTTTCAAAAGACGAACAGGGAGTCCTCATTAACGTCTTGGCTCTGGTGACCAAACTCGGTGTTGGTGGAGCTTGGGCTGTCTATGGGTTGTGGTCAAATGAGACGTACCCTACTGTCATAAGGTACAGTACACGTAATAATTAAGCACATGATGTCTCTATCGTATGTGGCTGATAAATAGCCACATTCACGAAGTACATAATTGGACTTTGACGTGACAACCAAGAACGTTCAGCTATCATACAGCCCTTAATATTTGTCAAAATTGTGGTAATGTATTTTCAATGTTTTGTTTACATTTTCTACAGAAATTTGGGTTTTGGAGCAGCTAATACAGCAGCCCGAGTTGGCGGCATGATCGCTCCATACGTCTTTGCAGGGGTATGTTTATTGTTCAATGAAGTTCATTGAGCCACTTCCGTGAGCCTATTTGCTGACTGTAAGACGTCGTACATTCTTATTAACTGTATAGAAATATCTTCCTTCGTGCAAAAGTGGCATGGGTGGTAAATAACTCTAAGGAGCAGGAATTAGCTCTGCAGAGTTGAGTTGCCTGGACATGCCAGGAACCTAAGGTCCTCGGTTTGAATCTCGGTTTGCCCTGATTATGTTTTTAGGTTTGTCTACATGTGGTAAGCAGCTAAGATCTGCACCTCCTTGGGCTTTCCTCCCACATTAAGCTGACACGTTATCATATAACTGGAATACTGTTGTAAGCAGAAGTCACTCCTCCGAGTCTATTACGAAAGTGACACTTTTATGTAAGATCTTGTTGTCGTATTTATATACTGAAATAACTATTGGTATTCAGGCTTTTTAAAATTTTGAATGATATCAATGATACTCAGCTCCGTCATCAGGTGACGGTGATTCAACTTTGCAATAGGATATATTTATAACCACTTAGAGCAGTGTGGACAAAATGTAACAACAAAGAGAACAACAAAGAATTCGTCATTGATTTGTCATACATACCACTGGAGCATTTAATACGCTTACATATATGTGCCCACTCACCGTCTATCAGACCTTAAAAACTAAATTTGAGACATTAATGTAATGTAATAAACAAATATTGCCAGGTACTTTGGCACATTATGAATCAAATCATCAACGAGGAGTGTGTTAGATTTTGACATAACATAACACCACTGCAGATGAAAACGTTCAATATCATTTGACAGGGCGATGGTGACCTCGTGGAGCCTTTCGTCATCGTTGGTTCGACCATGGCCGTCTGTGGAGTGTTATCTGTCGTAATGAAGGACACGAAGGACCAGCCTCTGGCAGACACCGTGGGGAATCAGAAGAACACACGCGGGGATGTGACCATGGTGGCGATCCATATGGACATAGAAACTCAGGAAGCTTTAGCCAGTTTGTCTTGAATGAATAATTCCAGGAGTTGAAGGCTGTGGAGACTTATTCGTGTGTGTATCTGTTGATGGCACAAGGCATCTTGTTGAGGCGAAAACAAACACTGGAACGTTGCATGATTAATTCAAGGATGGCAAAAATAGGCGAAACCTTGATTGAAAGCATCTCTTTGTGTGTCATCGTTCTGTGTCAGTAATGTACCTGGACACACTGACTTATCATTAGTACACTCTATTCAGCCCTTACACACCCCTCTCACCATGCCTCCTGTAGCTGTGTCTTCTCCTGCTCCTGACCACACTGACTAATCAATAGTACTCTCTTCTCCAACGTGACACACACCTCTCACCATGTCTCCTGTAGCTGTGTCTTCTCCTGCTCCTGACCACACTGACTAATCATTAGTACTCTCTTCTCCAACGTGACACACACCTCTCACCATGTTCTCCTACAGCTGTGTCTTCTCCTGCTCCTGACAACACCGACTAATCATTAGTACTCTCTACTCCAACGTGACATACCCCTCTCGCCATGTCTCCTACAGATGTGTCTTCTCCTGCTCCTGACAACACCGACTTATCATTCGTACTCTCTACTCCAACCTGACACACCCCTCTCGCCATGTCTCCTACAGATGTGTCTTCTCCTGCTCCTGACAACACTGACTAATCATTCGTACTCTCTACTCCAACCTGACACACCCCTCTCGCCATGTGCTTCTGCAGCTGTGTCTTCTCCTGCGCCTGACTGTATTGACTAATCATGAGTACTCACATTTAGCCCTTACATTGTATGATGCCCAATGGTGCTTCATCGTGGCCCGTGGCACCGGGTCACCACAGTGCTGCACAACACGATGTGACACACACCGGGGATTTATTAAGATTTCCATATTCGTTAATGATGCTACCATCGTGTTACGGGTAATAGTGATTATTTTATGACCTTTGCAAGTCGCCAACCGTTCTAAACGCAAAAGAGCAGGGATTTTTCCGGAAGACTAGCATTGTCTGTAAACTGATTTGCGTGAATCGAAATGTTATGCTTCGCATGATTGAGCATTATTAAAGCTGAAGCATGGCAACATGTTGCCAGAACAACCTGTGTCTGGAGGTGCATGCACATATTTGACACTTTGTATTTCCTCATATTCCATCCATCGTAACTGTACGATGTCTATGATAAACACACAGACTATACAATGCCTATGACGTACACAAGTCTATACAATGCCTATGACGTACACAAGTCTATACAATGCCTATGACGTACACAGTCTGTACGCCACCACACCCTGTAACTGTGCAATTTATGTGAGTATAATAGTGTGCATTCGATATTTATCAATGTTGCTTGTACACATTATCGAATGCACTCACATCGAGCTAGGAAGGTAGGACGGTTCGACCTAATCTAATTCAATGAGGCGATGAGATATTAGAACACTATAATAACACCATGTACAATGAAGTGTGTGAGATCGTTGTGTTTTATAACGAAGATCGCACGAACGACTTGGCCCCTTGCACCAAGCACGTACCACCTGAGCTACAAAAAAAATCGAGATGGGAACTTGTTACCGAACGATTGTATATCGTCATGCATACCTCTACACAGTGTCTAGTCCTGTATGTATCTACAGTGTGTCGTCCTGTATGTATCTACAATGTGTCGTCCTGTATGTATCTACAGTGTGTCGTCCTGTATGTATGTACACAGTGTGTCGTCCTGTATGTATGTACACAGTGTGTCATCCTGTATGTATGTACACAGTGTGTCGTCCTGTATGTATGTACACAATGTGTCATCCTGTATGTATGTACACAGTGTGTCGTGCTGTATGTATGTACACAGTGTGTCGTCCTGTATGTACGTACACAGTGTGTCGTCCTGTATGTATGTACACAGTGTGTCGTCATGTATGTATGTACAGTGTGTCGTCCTCTATGTATGTACAGTGTGTCGTCCTGTATGTATGTACACAGTGTGTCGTCCTGTAAGTATGTACACAGTGTGTCGTCCTGTATGTATGTACACAATGTGTCGTCCTGTATGTATGTACAGTGTGTCGTCCTCTGTGTATGTACAGTGTGTCGTCCTGTATGTATGTACACAATGTGTCGTCCTGTATGTATGTACACAGTGTGTCGTCCTCTATGTATGTACAGTGTGTCGTCCTGTATGTATGTACACAGTGTGTCGTCCTGTATGTATGTACACAGTGTGTCGTCCTGTATGTATGTACACAGTGTGTCGTCATGCAGGAATATCGACAGTGTGTCGTCCTGTATGTATGTACACAGTGTGTCGTCCTGCATGTATGTACACAGTGTGTCGTCCTGTATGTATGTACAGTGTGTCGTCCTGTATGTATGTACACAGTGTGTCGTCATGCAGGAGTGTCGACAGTGTGTCGTCCTGTATGTATGTACAAAGTGTGTCGTCATGCAGGAATGTCGACAGTGTGTCTTCCTGTATGTATGTACACAGTGTGTCGTCCTGTATGTATGTACACAGTGTGTCGTCCTGTATGTATGTACACAGTGTGTCGTCCTGTATGTATGTACACAGTGGGTCGTCCTGTATGTATGTACACAGTGTGTCGTCATGCAGGAATGTCGACAGTGTGTCTTCCTGTATGTATGTACACAGTGTGTTGTTATGCAGGAATGTCGACAGTGTGTCGTCCTGTATGTATGTAGACGGTGTGTCACCCTCTATGTACGTACACAGTGTGTATCCCTGCATGTACGTACACAGTGTGTATCCCTGCATGTATCTACAGTGTGAGTCTTTACATGGGAACTAGTCTCGGGCACTCTAACACTATACACACACACTTTACATAAATAAAAGCGACATTTGACATTTACTTAAGAATTGACCTTCACTTTGTGTGAGTTCATTGGAGTATCAACCTTCATAGAGTGAGGGCCAAAATGTATGAACGTCGGAGCTTGCGATGAACTCACACAAAGTGAAAGTCAATTCTTATAATTTTTTATCACAATTTCTTACCTCAAAGGATGTAGGCCAAGATCTAAACACAATTTTTATTTAGTACGTGTGACTTCATGTTAACACTGACATCCATACAACAACCAGCTATATCGCGGTGTAAAATAGTTCCTAAAAAAGAGAGGTGACATGGGCGTATGGATGCACAACTTGCTCTTCAGAAACATCTTACGCAGCACATGTGTTCAAATCATATCCTGATTAGATGACAAAGGTGTGTAAAGAACTACCTCAGTAAGTCAGTCACAATGACAGCGCATCGTGATACATTTACATCAAGATCAAGACGTCAAAATGGCCGACACGAAAAACGTGACGGGAGAGATTTCCGAAGTTGTTAATGAACCTGTGGCGGTTACATGTGTCAGTCATCATTGATCAACTGGCCGATCATTGAAAGGTGGATAAGGATGCGTCAAACAGACACGAAGGTAAATTCATAGATTGCTGGAGACGGTCAATGTCAACCTAGGAACGGATCGAGTCGATACTACGATAGTTTAGGATAGGCCGCAGCGAGGATATTCGTGAACAATCATGAACGTCAATTTCGCGGAAAAGCCGTATATCGTGTAAACTTCTAATTAAAGAATTATATAATCTTAACTTAAAATATGTACTTGTCCAACATTACATGGGTCAAGATGACCTTCTCGCTATGTCATTGTCTGTGTACATTATGCAGCCTGTCCCTTGTGAAGTACGAGTTGCGAAGCATATGACTCACGTCGCATTCACCTGGCAAGGTTAATGAAAACATCTTTATACGCCCCCAGGGCATCACATCAACTAGGCGATAAAAAAGCACCAAGCCACTGTTGCTCTCCATGCTAATTCAAAACGTGTGTTGTTAAACGCCACACTCAAAAATATCCCTGCTATACGACAGTGGGTACATAATCGAGTCTGGGCCAGATGATGCAGTGATTGATATCATGAGCAACCATCCTTGTCGTCGGGACACGATGACAGGCCACCAACCACGTCATCAAGCCTGAACACTCGATCCATTATTTCGCCCCTGACGTTCAGGCATAGGTTGCTGGGTATCAACTCTAACCAGGAATCCCCACTCGGAAAAAAATCAAGGTGACTAGACTGCTGTGTGTTGTGATTATCCATCATGCAATGAGGGAGGGGGATGGGTCTGGGATTGGTCGGTGAGGTCAGTATGATGGTCAATCAATGTGCCATATTCTTTGAACATTACTGTACATTACCATCGCATGTAATAACATTGGTACGGTAACAACAATTCATGTACATCATCACTGCATTTATTAAAGCAGTTTCCGAGATGCTGGCCACACATGAGTGCAGCTCGATTACGATGATATTCCTAAAAATATGATCTTATTATTCTCTTCACAAAAGCAGAGGACCGTAAAATATCAATGTTAATACCAAGTACTAGAACATAGATAGGTGTTGACGATAAACAATCTAATAATGGAAGAGCATTATGTCTGTAAAACGTAACAGCAAAAACACATCCTATAGTATATATGTGCTTCACGCAGCAGCGCAACACACGTGTGCTGGGTGCAATTCCTGATTTTGACACTTTAAAGAAAGGTCGATTAATCTCTGTGGACCGTTCTTTCCGTCAATCTTATTGATTCTGCTGATCCTACGGTTGTGATTTACTTCATTTCATTCAGTGTTTCTGTATGAACTGGCGATACGGCGTCGATGCTCGACGGCCACGTGTTCTGTCGCTCCTTACAAATCTTTATATTAGGCCATCAGCCTCGGTCCAAAATTTTGGCCACTGGTATGAAGTTAGGGGAATAATGCTCATAGCGATTTTTGGCAAGGTATGGACCAAACGAACCAAGTCAAAGACGCCAAAATGACTGTCCTAACTACTCTATGACCTTAGATATGGCCACTTGTATGTGGTAATAAACATTCTGGCGGCCATTTTGGATTTTCACATAAAAACATGCTCCGATGGTTTTGGTAAAGGCAGAAAAGAAATCTTGGACCCCTCAAACCTAGTCATAAACACCAGAATGACCTTCCTAACTGCTCTATGAGCTTAGATATGGCCACTTATATGTGGTAACGCGTATTGTGGCGGCCATTTTGAAAAAAGGGTGATAACACCTTAAAAAGCTGCCACCGCTGCAATGCTATCACACATTTTCCAACTCTAGGGGTTCATACCTTGCCCTAAATCGTTATGAGCATTATTCCCCTAACTTGATACCAGAGACCCTCTGGACCCATTTGACTACATTCCAAAAGAATAATATGGAATAATCGTCGCTGGTCACGTGTCATGTTTTCAGATCAGTCCCGATCTACTTTGCACTTTCTTGATAGGCGTGTTCATGCCTGGTGATGTCGACATGAACGTCAAGCCATTGTCATCCTGAGACCTCATGAGAAATATCGCGATGGATCGGCTACGGTGTTGGCTGAACTTGGCTAGGCTCCCCGATACTGACGGCTAATACAAATAAGTGAATACAACAGAGGCGAGGTTAAATTGGGTTTAACGTCGCGTCCAAGATTACTGCACTTATATAGCGACGTGCATGCACGTGTATGTGTATGTGTGGCTGCTTGTACTAGGCCGGACTGATGCCGATTTATAGTGCTAGCTCACTGAGATACCATGCCGCAGTTTAACATGAATACCCCACTCAGACACAGTAAACTGACTCCGAGCCGACCAGTCCTTGCTTTAACCCCTTAATGCCGAGCGCATGACAGGGTAACAACAAGTACCATCTTTAAACGTCTTTTGGTATGACATTGCCGGGGATCGAACCCCGGACCTTCCGCTCTCCGGGCGGACGCTCTATCAGTAGACCACGGAGGCGGTCGAATACAACAGAGAGAACCCAGAAACATGAAATAAATGTAAAACAAGGATTGGCATAGACGGTAGTAGGGGATGGAGGTGGGATTGCTTGTCATTGTTTACGAAACATGTACAAGATGGCTGACATTGAAGCGCTGCTGCACATTCTCGTACCTTGTTGCCTTGTCAAAGTTACTATAAATAGCATCATGCATCATACACGTATGTATTACAGACTATTTGACTTAATATAGATCCTTATAATAATATTAATACATAACCGAGTGGTTATAGTTGCACTTATCTGCTGCGAACCTGGAAGAAGATTGCATTCTGGCAAATACTCATGAATTTACGTACACAATGTGGGGCAAAACGCTCATTTCGACGACAATAAACACGTTGTCTTCCATCTCTTCCATCTCGGTGAGGACGAAATCGTGATTCATCGCTAAACCACACTCCTCTCCAGGTTTTCAAATTCCAAGATTGTAAGGTATGGCACCAACGCAAGCGTCGCTGTCGATGGATCGGTTGCAAACAGGGACAACCGGTCTTCATGAATTTATGTTGAATAATTAAACAAAAAAACATGATTAATGATGTGCTAATACCAAACGATGCTGTAATTAATCCAACATATAGACATAACAGTATGCTACATTGTTTAACTCTGAAAATAATAGAAAATAACGACATAGCAGTTTAACTTATCATTATAAACTCACTCAATATACATTGGGCATCAAAATATTAGCCAGATACTTGATACATGAGATAAACATTTTGCATCTAAGGGACCGATCATTTGATATTCGGGGTGGCAGGGCTTGGGAATGTATTGAAAAATATAAATTGTCCCAAAATGTGCTGGTAAACAATAACATTGTGCTACAGACTGAAAATACATTGTTGCAGAGTGTTTTTATTTTGCGCTATGTTTTTAATCTCGTCTCCATACAAAATCCCAGCCCAGTGTGTCCCCAATCGAATGTTAAATAGTAAGTTCATTAAAGAATTTTCGGGACAATGTAATTTATCGCTGAAATTCGAGGCCCAGTCCCCGAATATCAAATGGTCGGTCCCTTAGATGCAAATGTTTATCTCATGATTACAGTATCTGGCTAATATGTAATTTTTCATGTTTCTTGTGTTTTTTCAACAACCAATATCACGGCGACAGCACCACACTAATACCTTGCCAACATATCAAGATGCGAATTCTGAAAAAAACGGATATTTAATATTGCGAGAAGCGACACACACCCTTGACGTACGATGACAAGTACAATCAAGCTAGGTATAGAACCACATAAGCGACAAACATAGGATGCTGCAGCTGGAGAGCAATGACCCCCCCCCCCCCCCCCCCCCCCCTACACACACACACCCCGACACCCCGCCATTGTGAGTTGTACGTTTGGTCAGGGTATAATGGCCTCTCAACAAACACGACCCTTCACACGCCTTCTCAGTTACCGTTGGTCAATATTGTTAGTAACCGGCCATCGTTATTTATACCCGACCTACACTCCACTCACCGAAGGTCATGAACAGAACCTGTGTACAATTGGGATATCAATGTATGCCAGCATTGGTTAGTACCAGGATGAACATATGAACACACACGCACGCACACCCACACGCGTGTGTCTTTCGGACCGACTATTTAACATTCGAGTGTGGACGAGACACAGTGTGTGTGTATGTGTGTGTGTGTGTGTGTGTGTGTGTGTGTGTGTGTGTTCAAAAAAGGTAACGCGGAGACAGAAGTTGCGTAAATTTATTGTACCTAATAAGGTCGATATATTTATATATTTATTTTAATATCATAAATACAAATATGACATTTTGTAGCTTGATAGTCACATGTTGTCGTTGTACAAGGGCATTGAAAACTGTTCATTGTCATGTCACACAAGGCCACAGGGTTAAGTTTAACTCAGTATCTCTTGTGACCGCCCCGGGGTGCAGTCACGGCTATGCATCTCCTTGGCACTGAATGGATAAGTTACGAATTCTGCTTGTAAAGCGTAGGCCAATTATGGGAGTGCCTGCTGCATGTTCTGACGTTGATGCACACGTCGATCGAGTTCATCCCAGAGGTGTTCGATTGGGTAGAGATCTGGAGATCTCGACGGCCAGGGCAAGTCGTTGATGTTGGCATTATGGCGGTATTTTACCGTGACACGAGCTGTGTGAGGTGGAGCGTTGTCTTGTTGAAACAGCTCTCTCTGGCCGTCAATGATTGGAAGGAGGTGAGGTTGAAGAATTTGATTCATGTTGCAATTTGCTGTCAAATGTCCCTGAACCACAACCAAGTCAGATCTCGTTGTGTAGTATATGGCACCCCACACCATGACACTGCCGCCACCGACATTGTGGAATTTACGTACACAATGTGGGGCAAAACGCTCATTTCTACGACAATAAACACGTTGTCTTCCATCTCACCAGTGAAGACGAAATCGTGATTCATCGCTAAACCACACTCCTCTCCTCTCCTGTAAGGTATGGCACCAACGCAAGCGTCGCTGTCGATGGATCGGTTGCAAACAGGGACAACCGGTCTTCTTGGTCGGATTCGCGAAGATGGTTCCTGACAGTCTGGTCCGATATCCTCCTCAAACCGGGGATGCGGCTGCAGTCTCCTTAGCCATAAGATGTGGCATTACGATGAAGTAGGTGGAACAGTCGAATGTAGCGATCCTGTGCAGGGTAGTAACTCTTGGTCGGCTGGTCTTCAGTGGAATTGAACTGTGGGTATCGGTTTCAAAGGCGGCAAATGGCTCTGTGGTGGACGTTGAAGTGGTGTGCAACAGAAGACAGCGATTCCCCTCTTGGGTACGTCCTATGGCGATGTTCCGATCGGTAGAGCTGAGTCTAGGCTTTTTTTTAACTTGAAAAATGTTGACAATTGAATGACATATTATTGGCTTATGCCTGCCTTTTTTATAGCCACTACCACGAGTTACGAATGCCATAACTTGCACGTGCATTATGCATTACTGTATTCATCCATGACATTGTTTAACAAGTGTGAAAACAATGCCGTTTGAGTCATTGCAAATTGACAATGGCTGCGTTTTGGGGCACCGTTTGTCGAATATAAGGCCACCAACATTTTCCATTAACATATATCCAATTTATATACTGGATTTTTTGTGCAGTCTGGTTCAGTGAACAACACACCATCTGTGCGTTTCATGTTTTGAAGAGTATATATTAGTTTAAGCGTTTAAGCCTAATAAGACTTCCAGAAAGGGCAGGACAATGTAATGGTAGAACCGTGTTGACACAACGCACACACTGTTAAATTCAAAGCCATGTACATATATAAAGAACATTCGAGCCTGGGGAGTACACAAGAGAGGAGATCGCTGTTATCATGGCACACTGACCTCCTCACACACTGACAGCAGGTAGGTGAACGCTAAGGGCGCAGTTATTAGCTGATACTGCCGAGTACATTTTAAGATTTGTTTTAAAATGAGATTGGGTTTAATTGCAAACGTTGTGAGACCGTTGCATTACGGATTTTAAATTAGCCTTAAGGTATGTATGCCACAGAGACACGAGATTACGATGCATTCTGATAATGATTGTCCAACACAAAACCCGGCATTTAGATACAGGTTTTGTAAGGATCGCTTGATCCACTACTTGTTTTGCCTCTTCCTCCCCCTACAACCTCCCTTTGTTCAGCTTAACTAACAGTTTTACATACATTGACCTTTGGTATGTAACCGAGTTTATGTATTCTTTCACGGTGATGATTGATAAGGTGGAATATTACCATTATTCTGGCTGTGAGATACTACATACTTGTGATATACTAGTGCTCTGTTATGTTTGTTGTGTGGTAAAAGTGATATAGATTTTTTACTGGAGTAAAAGAACATTTTTCTGTAGAGATTACAGCACATTAGATAAGTAGAAATTAAATCCTAGCCATGATCGCCAGCACACTGTTTCATAAAATTTAACACAACTTTGAGTATACAATTTATTGATATGTATAATATTGACACACCTATCTAACCACTAGGTGTTGGTATAACAGTATGTCAAATAGGAAAGATGGTTCTGTGAGGGATGAAAACAGCGATGTAAGTCCAAATTATCATCCTATTTTATTTGTCAAGTGTTTATGTTTGTTCATTTTATAATAAAACCCTTCTCTGTAGGTGCAGTATGTATATTAAGTAAGTATAAGAATTTAAGGATCCATAAATTCTTATCCTTACTTAGTACTCTAAATGACTTTCAAAGAAGTATGTATATTAGCAAGAATATTTGGGTCAATACACGGGTGGACAATAGGTGAGGTGAAATTGGGTTTAACGTCGCGTCCAAGATTATTTGACTTATATAGCGACGTGCATGCACGTGTGTGTGTGTGTGTGTGGCTGCTTGTACTAGTCCGGACTGATGCCGATTTATTGTGCTAGCCCACTGAGATACCATGCTGCAGTGTAACATGAATACCCCACTCAGACACAGCATACTGTCTCCGATCCGACAAGTCCTTGTTTTAGTCCCTTAATGCCGAGCGCCAGACAGGATAACAACAAGTACCATCTTTAAACCCCGGACCTTCCGCTCTCCGGGCGGACGCTCTACCACTAGACCACGGAGGCGGTCGGGTAGACAATAAGCACCTCAACATGTTGATGTCGAGTGCAAAAACAATATGCGAATGTGGAGGTATATGGACTGCTGTGCGCATGCCTATGCTGTGTCCGGCTTTTGTCGTTTGTGTACTGCCATATCGCACATGACGTGTGCGAGGTGTTGGTATGTGAATGGCAGATAAGAGATAAGAGTTATGTGGAACAAATAAAGAAACAATACAAAACACATTACATCATATTAGGATAAGTCTACTGAAGAAAAGAAATATTTAACTGATGACCAATTGTTATGGGAAATATTATTATTAGCCATAAGAGGACAATCCATTTATCATTAATCAACTGAGAAAACGAAAAAATGAGACGAAAGAAAAAACTTTATTCTCAGATCTTTATGAGCTTGAAACCTATCTAGACTAAAACAAATTGAAGTAGAAAAGAACGAAATTAAAGGAAACATTGATGAGATTAAAATGAATTGAAATAAATAAACAACGTAAGGACAAAAGGGGGCTTTATTAGATCAAAGGCAAAATGGATAGAACACGGCGGAAAACATAGAAGTTAATCTTTAACAGTAGAATACCGATTTGTTTTAAATAAGTTTATTAAAGAATTAAATAGAAAGGTTGGAACTGTTATAAAATGCAGGATGAGTTGCTTGCAGAAACTAAACAGTTCTATAAAAGACTGTATAGAGAGGAAGATTGTGAAATAATCAAATTTAGAAGAGTTTTTTTCTGAGCCATTCCAAGACTATCTAACCAAATGCCGTTAGGCTTAGTAAGGGAAATAACCGCCAAAGAAACCTCAGATGAACCGAAGAAACTGAAAAACAGAAAAAGCCCAGGACCTGATGGATTTACTACAGAATGTTTGAAATTCTTTTGGAATGACCTTAGGAAATATTTAATAAATTCACTAAATTATGGATACAGAAATTATTCATTATCTATAACACAGAAACAGGGGCTTATTACTTGCTTACCAAAAGAAGATAAGCCAGAATTTGCGCCCAATGTCGTTGTTAAATACATCATAAAAACTTGCATCAGCAGTGATACAAAATAGAATTAAAACTGTCTTACCTGTTATAATCAATGAGGACCAAAAGAGATTTGTTCTATGGAGATATATTGGACAGGTGACTAGACTTACATATGGTTGAGTGGATTATACTTTTATTATTGATGCACTAAAATTCTTTCAATTTGGACCAAGAATTCAAAAATGGATAGCATCCTGTGTAGTAGTTAATGGATTTGCGAGTCCCTTTTTATGATATTAAGAGGCTGTCGTCAAGGTGACCCAGTGTCGTCATATATCTAATATATATAATATGTGCGGAGATTTTGGAAAAAATATGATAAGAAATTATTCTAAAATAAAAGGAATTGAGATAGGAAAAATTGAACAAAGTTGCTAGATTTTCTGGTCTTAAGGTCAATGCAGAGAAAACTAAACTAATTTGTATTGGTTCAAAAAAGAGATCAAGATATAAACTATGTAAGGATTGGCATCTAGACTGGACTAATACAAAGCTTAAACTATTAGGAATAAACTTTGATGTTGATTTAGATAATATTGTAGAGGATAATTATAAAATAAAGTTTGAACCAAATAAGAGAGAATTGAGCCTATGGGCGGTAAGAAATTAGACTCCAATAGGTAGAAATATAGTCCTAAAAAGCCTCTTATTGTCAAAATTGAATCATGTCTTTTCTTCCATACCCAACCCGCCAAAAGATGTGATTAGTACTTTTCAGAAAAGATGTTTTAAATTTATTTTAAAGGGAAAACAGGATAAAGAGAAAAGACAAATGATGTCTGAATCCCCAAAAGCCCAATCTTTTTTAAACATTGGTCAAGATATTATGAGACAATCTATATGGTTTAATGGTAGAATACAAATAGGAAATAGCCCAATCTCTTTTAAACATTGGTCAATCTCCTCGACCAACCATGCCACTCAGTATATCAACTCTGCCAAACCAAAATATAGGTAGTAAAGAATTTACAAGACTTTATCAGCACAGGAGTTTGTTAAGTTTCATGGCTTTGAAAAATGGGAAAGTATACTAAATAAGACATTTAGTGATGGCAGGAAGATGTTCTTAAAGTGAGGATGTTGGATGGTTTCAGTTTAAGATTAATCACTACATTCTTACAACTTACAAATATTTCTAAAAAATTAGATATGTTGACTCTCCTTTGCTTACTTTCTATACAAATCAACCTGAAACTGTAATCCATAGGTTATATAAGTGTTTACATGTAAGAAAGATTTGGGAGAAACTGTACATTTGGATAATATCCGTTGTGAAAAGAACCATTGATTTGAACAGAGAAAATGTTTTGTTTGGATTTCAAGGCAAACACAACAACCCATTGCATATTGTAACTTTAATAACAAAACAAGTAATATACAGACAATGTAGGTAAAGATTAATGCCACATTTTGAACACATACAACATGAGATATTTAGTTAATTACAATGCTGCAAAGGTAATGTTATTTACAAATTGTAACCATGCAAACTGTTTCAGGTTCTGGTCTTCCTTCCATACTTTGTTTAAAAACGAATCTGTATAAAGACACACTGATACAGTACGTTGACTTTATAGGCTAAGACCGCTTCCGTGGTCTAGTGGTAGAGCGTCTGCCCGGAGAGCGGAAGGTCCGGGGTTCGATCACTGACGGCGTCATACCAAAATACGTTAAAAGATGGTACTTGTTGATACCCTGTCTGGCGCTCGGGATTGAGGGGCTAAAACAAGGACTGGTCGGCTCGGAGTCAGTATACTGTGTCTGAGTGGGGTATTCATGTTAAACTGCAGCATGGTATCTCAGTGAGCTAGAACAATAAATAGGCATCAGTCCGGACTAGTACAAGCAGCCACACAAACACATACACGTACATGCACGTCACTATATAAGTGCAATAATCTTGGACGCGATGTTAAACCCCATTTCACCTCACCCTATAGGCTAAAATGTATATGTATGAAAAGATGTACATTTCTTGAATACCATGTACAACAATGTTACTGACACGACACACACGCATACATATAGGTATGCTGTACCTGCTGAGATGAATACAGAAATAAAAAAAAAGCTTTTTATATTCGGACGTGTTGCAGATGATCGGTCCAAGTTATTCGTTTTCAAGAACATTTACTGAAAACTTTCTCCCCTACTTTCCCTCTAATATCTGTAACCGCGCTACCTGCATCAGGTACTGCCTTACAGAAGACATTTGTTTACAGATTGCAAGTTTACTCTTCACCAAACTGGACGTTTATGCCCTGTGCTGTATAAAGGTGAGTAATGTTTGTTTTAAATGCGTTATAAAATAACCGCGAAATTGCTCATCAAACAATTCTGGTTGAATGAGGAAAGGTTAAAGAACCCTTCCATCTGTCCATGGTCATATATTGCCTTCAAAATGATATTTCAGGAATATTGCTAAAAGCGGCTGAAAATCATGCACACTCACAACTTTAGTTTTACATTTAGACCAGGGGCGGTATTCATAAAGAAACTAAGATTTTTCTTAAGTCTAAACTTAATTTTTAGAAATCTGACTTAGCTAAGTCTGAGACTTAACTTGATATTCATAAACATGCTAAGTCCGAAACGTAGTTAAGTCTCAAAAGAAAAACTAAGTCAGTTTCGTAGTACGTACCCGCGTGATCACTAGGGGGAATCCCAGCTATTTTTAAACTTCCGGTGGAACTCTTTAAAAAAAAAGGTCTGAACGTCTTTTTCGGTGGGATTTCCCGGTTGCTATTTACGGCAGACGACACACACAGCGAAACTTTGTCCACATTGCCAACGTCATGTCAGAGGCAGATATCGTTGTCTGTCACTCAGGCAGTCGTTGTACACAAATGTAGTATTTACACCAGACATGAGTTTTATAAAGTTATATTTTAGCAGTGAACATCTACTAATTTAACTTATCCGAGATATATTAGTGCGCCAATCAAGCGATTATAAATGCATAATTTACCACTGCATGTAGATTTAATGCAACATTCTACCACTGAGCATGAAATCATCACTATTGGTGATTGGTCCTGTTATCAGTGGAATTTAAGTCACCTCTGATATAGCCATAACATATTCTATTACTATCATAAACTGGGACATTTGTTATTTCCAATTTGAGTTTTTTAACTGACAGTGCCCTTGCAGCAGACTTGGGGCTAAATATGAAATCTTGAAGTGATATCCAAAATATTAACATCCTAATTGTCGGCTGAATAAATCAACTTGAGAAAAATATTTTTTATATATATTTGGGATCAGACTACTTTTTTAATATAATCTCAGCACCCTCACAAAATGCTTGGCCCCTTATTATCTTCATATTTCCACAATTGTAAGACACTTACTACTTTCCCTTAACTCTACAGGTTATTACAGCTACCCTCAATTCCTCTGGTTCACACCAGAGAACAAAGGAAGAGGTGGAAAAAAATGGAAGAACGTGAAAAGCCAGGCAAAACACAAGTACTCCGAATTTGGGAAACTGACAAAAGGAACTGGCAAGTACTTTTCTTCCCTTCATACATACTGTATACAAGTCAGGGTTATTGCATGACAACTCTTCTATCAATGGTCATTATAAATACGGTATTACCAATAGATCAATTATCAATCATAATGTTCTGTGTATTTTTGTATGAAGAATATTATTTCCAAAATACATTTAGATAATGATGATGATTAGAAATTTCATTGTCTTAACCCTTCCATTAACGAACATATATAATAAAATTTTAAATGATATAAAAAATTACAGTTTGTAATTAAATGTTTATACAGGAGGTGGACCAGCGCCAGCACCAATCAGCCCAGTGACCAATGCAGTCATTGATATCTTAGGCCAGGACAACGTGACCCTAACTGGTGTGCCAGGTTCAATTGACACGACAATGCTGCAGGTGCTGGATCTGATGCCACCTACTGACAGGTACATCAATGATATGAGATACCTTTCGGGTTAGAAAATTATCATGGTTCTGTTCTGACATAAATACTGGGTGCTTGGAAAGAGCTTATGGTATCACTATAGACGAGCTTGTATATGGCTTATCCTTAATGAGTCCAAATTGAAGTATTTTCTGAATGTTATTCTAGTATAGGTGATGAGAGATTTGCTTAAAGAAAATAGTTCAAGGCAATCTATAACACTATCTTTTGTCTTATTTGATATTATGTCTGGGAGATGGGATCTTGTTACCTTTGGCTAGTTTTTATCTAAAAGCTTTAAATCTATAAAACCATGTATACATAACTTTTGTTTTGTTGAATAGTATGTCTGGGAGATAGGTTCATGTTACCTTAGCTAGGCCAGCATCTATCTAAAAAGCTTTAACTGAAACTACTAATATTTGGTATTTGCATTTTCCCTGGATCCTAATATGTATAACTTGCTGTTCTGTAAGCACATGAAATTTTGTATAAATGTTACACCATGAATAACTTATAAAACCACTTGCTGTGGACCTAATTATTATTTGAAAACTTAGTATAAATGTATATTTTTGTATATAATATCAACACCTCAATTGTGCACAAATTAAGTCAATTGTTGTTTAAACAATTGTGATATGATTATAAATGTAAATGTTCTCATTATAATAACACAAAACAACAGGCTTGTTGAAATTGAAAAGAACATTTATGTGAAAATTACAATTAAAACTTTAATATTTTCTGTTTCAGGGAGATTTATGACACCGCCATGTCAGATCCACATCCTCAACCAGAAGGAGCCAACATGTATTCCAAGGAGCCAGATGTCACAGGGTCCCTCACTTCACCAACCGTGGAAACTCTGTTGAAGCAAAAATTAAAGCTTGAAATTGAATGCCTCACTTTGAAAAAGGAATACCTTAAATTGAAAATCACGAAACTGAATTAGCTAAAAGTATCATACATGTTGTTTGGGCACTAAAGAATTATTTATATATTTGAATATTAAATGTCACAATACATACTAAGCCAAATGTTATGATACAACAGATTCTGTAGAAAGAACATTGTGGAACATTTTTCAGAAAGAGTACATTGCATTTAGAATATTGCATATTTAAGACGGTGAGGGATAATTAAGATGATTAAAAACTAAAGATACTTTGCAAAGAATGTACTGCTGATACAAATTGGATTTATTATGAGGAAATGTTGAAAATTAAAATAAAATAATCTTACATGGAAAGTTGGTATTGGCAAAGTGCTCCCGGTATCTGAGTGCAGCTACTGGTGGAGCAGTCACTGCTTGAGCTCCATTCTGCCCATCAAGCCTGCCAAGTCCATCATGCCCATCAGTGGTTGAAACTGGGATATGTCTGTCCTTGCATATGTTGTGTAGGACAGCACATGCTATTATCACCTAAAATATGAAATCATTAATGATAAATTAACATCATTACACTTAACATTTAGGCTTTTACATGGCCTCAGTTGAACATACAAATGTTTATGTAAATAACGAATAAGTTCATACAACCCCATCATTTCCTGATCATCTCCACATGCACATTAACAATTCTATACTTCAAATATTTATGAATTTTCCCTTATCTGCTCCTAGTTATTACCAATCTACAACTGCCCTGTTATTGCCTTAAATATAAAACTGTATATATATTCACTTGATTTAGATACAAGTCAATCTGAACAAGTTCATGTCCATGTACAAACTTTAATAGACGATGAGCCACTGCATTGTTTTCATATTCTCAATGGCATTTGTTAACATAAATTCAAACAACCATGTTTGAAATAATTATGTAACTCAATAAAATCTTGTTGCTTTTTTCAATCATTGCTTTCCTCTCTAGGAATTGTTATTTTATATATTTATTGTCATTTAGCTTTGTTACATTTTTGTTCTGTTGAACTTATTTGTGTGGCAAATAAATAGTGCACACAAATTAACATTTGTTGATCATAATTTTTACCTTACAAGCCTTCTCAGGTTTTAACCTGATTTCCCCATGGAGAACAGGAAATCTGCGTTTCAGTTGACCAATGGCCCTTTCTACTATGCTCCTGGTTCTTTTGTGTGACCTGAAAAAAACATAACATATCAGAGTGTAACCTGTAACATTAATCTTCAACAGGGTTTAAGAAATATATATTTATCTTTTTATTGATAAATGTCACTTGTTGAAGAAATAATTTTGATCATGTGAAAACAATAATTTACACTTTGGATTATGTAGGAAATTCATACTGGTAATGTTTAAAAAAAATATTCCTAATTACCACAAATATTCAGCATGTTTACCAAAACAGCACATAATTACTTGCACATTTAGAACAACTAACAAAGACATAATAATAGATTTTGAAATAAAAACATATGGTTATGGTGTGAATAATATTCCGTATTTTTTTAAGAATGTTTTTGTATTTGCTTCGATTATCCAGACCAAATATTGCGTTTGTGCAATGGGCAAATATGTAATCGAGGTATATACAAGGGACATCACTCTAAGTTGTTAAATACGATCGGCAACGTAACACGAAACTTTACATACCTGTTGTAGTTTGTTTGTGGTCCCGGCAATGGTCTTAGGAAAGGGGTAAGCAGCCACTTCTTGCAGGGATAACCACTGTCACCGAGGAAGTGACATCCGATGGGGAGAACATTGCGCTCGAAAAGCTGGTAGAGCCCGCTGTTTGTCAACATGCGTGAATCGTGTGTCGATCCCGGCCACCGAGCAACAACGTCAATGACTCTGTCGTCGCTGTCAAAAGCGATCTGCGTATTTATGCTGTGATAGTGATGTCGGTTTACGAATTCAATTTCCTTTCACTGTTGGTGCCTGGATTTGTACGTGGGTTCCATCGATCACCCCGACAACTCCGGAAAAGTTCGCAATATGATAAAAGTTTGTTTGGTGACGCCTAATGTCCCCGAGTTGCAGGGGGAAGCGGACAAACTGTTTCACAATCCTTTCAGATGACAAACTGGTGATACACTGATTTACAACTCTGGAAATGGTGGGCTGGGTGACACCTTGATCATCTGCATTACACAACTGAAACTTTCCCGTTGCAAAGTACCTTAATGGGATCAGCGTCTTTTGTATCTCGTCAAGTGCGTGGTTACGGTTGGTTGCAGGCTCCACGTCAGCTGCTATTAAATTAGCTACGTACCTAATGCCATTTCCATCTAAACGGTATCGCCGTATCAACTCCTCATCGTTGTATTCAACAAGACTTTGTCTTCTTTGATGAAACGAACGACGACCTAGTGGTACGGCAGCCATTTTGTTTACTGACTTAAGTCAAACACCTTGTAGTTAAGCCTATCCCTACCCAGTCTTAAGATTTAAGTCAGAAATTGGTAAAACTTAAGCCTAAGTCGCTTCATGAATATGACTTAAGTAAAATCTTAAAACTTAAGTCAGAAAAGGTAAAAAACTTTGTTTTTTTCAAGACTTAAGTTTTTTTTCAGACTTAAGTTCTTTTATGAATACCGCCCCAGGTCTACATGTTAAGATAGTACTAATAGGGACTCCGTCTATGTGTACAATGCGCTGTGTTTGAACCGACTAAATGACCTGCCGCATATTTCATTAATCAAAGCTACCTAGTCCAGACTCTTAATAAAGAAAATACGGTATACTCAAAGGCTAATTCTCTGCGATCCTGGGGCCGTATTTATCAAACAACTTAGTTTTGGCTTTAAAAAAACCTTAAGTTTCTGAAAAATTACTTAGCCAAGTCAAAAACTTAAGTTGGTATTCACGAAGCGTCTAAGTAAAAAACTTAGCTAAGTCTGCCGTGAGAAACTAAGTCGATTTCACCGAATGCAAACACGTGATCACTAAGGACTATCCCAGCTATTTTTAGCCTACCAGTGGAACTCTTTTCACTAAGAGAGAGAAAAACGTCATCGGGGAATTCCCGGACAGCGCAGACGATAATAAACACCGCTGCGAGCTCCAAGATAGGCCCACGCCATGACCGAAGACGCGAAAAAGAGACGGCCAAACTTTACCAAAGAAGAATCGTTACTACTAGCAGAGCTGGTGGCATCAAACAAGGTGGTGCTTGAAGGAAAGTTTGGCCCCGGCATCACCTCCTTGAAGCGACAGGAGGCGTGGCAGGTACGTGAGGTAGTGAGTGTTTTTTTACTGTTTTTTTGAGAGGTTTAGCTGCTTACATCATTAATTTTACATACATATGTAGCAGACAAGGCCGTAATGCGTATCAAGGAATGCATGTGGTCGAATAATAACCAAGACGTTTTCCAACCTTCCATCATCACACTTCGTAAGTCCAGTACCACGGGAATGATATATTTTGGTCATATTTACACAATGAGACCCAAACAATTATATTCGTCTTTTTCAAGTTGCACTGTGGTTTGTTTCTTCATCGGGGTAGGCCTATTGTCTGTACCCCTAACAACTTTTACCCAAAATTTTAGGTGATTTTGAACCCAAACCAGTAGCCTAGATCTATGTCATTTTGTACTCCTTTTGGGGCATTTGCATTAGCTTCTAAAGTATACATTAGTCCTAGGCCTCATGTTAGTATCCTAAAGTTACATTACTATCACTTTCATGTCAAAAGCATACAATTAAGTTAGTTTAACTAATTTAACAATAACTTATTACAGGGTCAAGATGTCATTTCCATATCAAGACCAATCAATGTGTTCCTATGCATTAATTAGTAATAAATATATTGTGATGGATCTCATACAACCTCGATCTAGTGCTGCATAGTCATATTATGAACTTGATGAAATGTTATATTATGTAATGCACATATACTCTTGTTTACAATATTAATGTAAAACATATATGACAATATACTGAAATATGAATAATATTATTTTCTTAGTAACACAGTCCCATATAATTTTTGGTCGAAACAGCTTTGCTAAAACTGGGCTTTGGATACAAAATATGATACATATCGCAATACTCAGTTCATGATACACTATGTATCACGATACATAATTCACTTCAATTTTTATATTTCAATGGACATAAAAACTATTAAAAGGCTTAAAACATCATGAATAATTGGTCTCATGTTTAAAAATAAAGATATCTCTTTTCAATCAGTACTTTATTTCAGAAATCAATTTGAGTGTAATACCACAAGGACAGAAATTAAGTCTTAAAACTGGGTACAATGTACAGTGTGCATATAGCATGATTTAATACTGACAAAAATTATTAATGTAATTTGATGTGTTTTTCATTTGAGTTGTTATGTTTATATTGCAGATGATTACAGACACCCTTAATGCAAGCTTAATGCACAGGAGGACCAAGGAGGAGGTTGAAAAGAAATGGAAAAACCTGAAGAGCCAGTCAAAGAAAGCCTTTTCTAATTTAAGGCAGCAAACCATTGCCACTGGTAAACATACTTATGGATACATTAGTTTAGTTATTAAATAGTTTTGATAAAAAAGGTGACCTAAAATGATATAGTTAATGTGAAAGTGGAAAAAGGATATTGTCATCCCTTCACAGTTATTATTAAGACCTACATTGTAACTTGTTGCTGTATATTAAGAGTATAATTATACCAACACAAACCTATCTCAATGTTTGAAGGTCAAAAGAGTACTTGTCTCTATATTGTGTTGGTTTTGTGATAATATGTTTCTAAATACTATAACACCATTCACACTATAACCTATACTGCTTCTTGCACTTACAGGAGGCGGTCCACCTCCCATCCCTGTAAGTCCTGTCACAGATGCAGTTGTAGAGGCCATAGGGAGGGACAACATGTCTTTGACAGGAATATCCAACTCCTGTGATTCGACGGCCCTACAACTGCTTGATGTCATGACATCAAGAGAGAGGTACAAATGACATAAATGTTGATGTTGATATTGTACTAACATTATTGCATCACTTAGTATTTCATGTTTGTCAGCTTTGTTACATACTCCCCAAAATATATTTATGAAATCAAAATTTAAAGTATACTTCTTTAAAGTTCTTTCCCAATGTGTCTGCAACAGGCAGTCAATTTGCAATTATTGACAAGTCTCTGTATAAAAGCAAAACACAAGGCTCCGAATACACAAATAATGTATATATATTTCTTTCAGCGGTGAAGTTGAGGACATGGCCAATGTGTTCAACGTGCCAGAGAGGACTTGCCAGTGCCAGAATCAGACTTCTATGGAAGCATTAAACAAAGAAAAACTTGTATTAGAAATTGAATGTTTAAAATTAAGAAAAGAGTATCTAACAAAGAAAATTTACAAAGTAGAAGAATAGACTGTAAAGCTCATGTCACGCAAGTGGGGACCGACCATTTGATATTTGCTTGGGGGTAGGGGCTAGTATTATATTTTGTATCAAGATTAGATAGATTTTCAGCTACAGACACAGATATCGCTTTATTTAAAAATATGAGCTAAATGTTTTTAGAAAAACACCTTGCAACAATGTATTTTTCCCACCCGCCCCCGAATATCAAATGGGCTGTCCCTTAGGAAAATTTAAATTAATACTAAGTGCATACTTAGAGTAATAGTAATAGTAGCAGGAAATAACTTACATGGAAAGTAGGTGATTGCAAACTGTTCCCGATATCTCAACCCTGTTGCTGCAGGTGCAATGGCTGATAGACCTTGCATCTGTGCCCTTAGCTGTCCGGATTGGCTGTTTCCATGTACAACTGGCATAGGCACATTCCTGTCTTTGCTGAGGTTATGCAGCACTGCACAGGCAGTTATTACCTAGAAAAATGTTTAAAAAGCCTATTCAATACCCTTTCATGAACTGATGTGGCCTTAATCTAATGACAAATATTTCTAGAATGTGTTGAATTTGACAAAGAGTGAAATGTATGGTCTGTATTTCAAATATGTTATACTATGTACTGTTTGATCTCAGATATATTTGCCTAATTTTTTCCCTTAAGCTAGATATAAAATAAGTCAAAAGAAAATGAATATTGAACATCAATACAGATACAGATTATGAAATTGTGTTGACTTTTTTTACAATAACACATGACAGTGAGTGAGTGAGTGAGTGAGTTTAATGTCATATTGATGAAATGTTACTGTCTTCATTGAATAAAAAATTAATGTTCACCGTATTGTGTTTGTTTATTTATCAACCTACAGTATATCTAGTCCTGACAATAATAATGTGAAAAAGAAATAATTCCATTAAAGTGTAAGTCTATGAAGACTCTCCATTTTTTACTGAAATTGAATAAAAAGAAATGAAAACATTTTCTAATTTCTATACCTTGCACGCCTTCTGTGGGGAAAGTCTGATTTCCCCATGTAAAACATGAAACCGACGTTTCAGCTGCCCAATTCCCCTCTCCACACAACTCCTTGTTTTCTTATGTGATCTGACAATTGCAATGAATAATCATTATTAGCAGATAATCATATAAAATTTAAATTGGGAGTATAAGAAAAAGAAGAACACATTTTGCTATGTTCTCAGCGATAGAAACTAACATTTTCAATCCATTGGTCATTATAATGACAACATATTGCAAACCCCTTAATATTGCTGTTTCTTGTTATGTGTGTGGTTATATTTCATAGAATCAATGCTTCATACTAGTATGTTTTCATACATAAAAGAGAAGTGAGATAAAATGATTAATATTTCTTACTGATGAATACATAATCATACATATTTTTTACCTGATTTGCGACTTACATAATTTTACGACACTTAAGTAGGAATTAAACGGAATGATACTGAATAATACTTTACAGCAAATATGTGTAACTCTTCCATTCCGTTTTTAGGTTTGAGATAGTATTCTACCTAACCAGGGGAAGTCACTCTATTGCTGAGTGCTCGTAGTGAACTGAACGAAGTAATATTTATACCCGTTGTAGTTTGTCTGTGGTCCTTGGAGAGGACGCAAAAATGGTGTTAGGATCCATCTCCAACAAGGGTAGCCACTGTCTCCAAGCAGATGACAACTTACTGGTAGCCGGTTCCCCTCAAACATCTGACATAACCCACTTGTTGTCAAAATGCGGGAGTCGTGTGTTGAGCCAGGCCAACGTGCAACGATGTCGATTATATGATCGTCGCTGTCAAACACTATTTGTGTATTTACACTATGGTAATTATGCCTGTTGACAAATTCTTTCTCATTGACTGATGGGGCCTGAATCTGAATGTGGGTGCCATCAATTACCCCAACAATACCCGGGAAATTGGCAGTCTGATAGAAGCGCTGTTGATGGCGTCTTATTTCTTGGGGTTGTACAGGAAAGGTAACAAATCTACGAAGGATACGGTGACTTGTGAGGGAGTCAAGCGTTTGGAAAATCACCCGAGATATAGTGGGTTGGCTCAGACCATGGTCATCACCGTTACACATTTGAAACTTGCCAGTGGCAAGATAACGCAAAGTAACAAGCACCTTCGTAACGCAGGACACGGCACAGCTCCGCTGTGTTATAGGACTCAACTCCTGCTCAAGGATATCACAGATATAAACAATACTGTTCCTATCAAATCTGTACCGCTGTATCAGTTCATTGTCATCTAATGAATGTAGTATATCTCTTCTCTCATTAAATATTCTTGAATTGCGTCTGGCAGCCATTTTACATGACTTAAGTCAAACATACATGATTTAAGCCTAGCAAGGTGAGTCTTAATAGTTAAGTCAGAAAATGACAAAACTTAAGTCTAAGTCTTTTGATAAATATGACTTAAGTTTTTCCACTAAACTTAAGTAAAAAAACAAGAAAACTAAGTTTTTTTAACTGACTTAAGTTTTATTTATGACTTAAGTTGTTTGATAAATACGGCCCCTGATCTTTGTGTTCGATATTGGGACTATTTAGATTCACATATGACCAAATATCTAAAGTGTACCGGTATTTAGAGTTTTACAGGACACCGTCGCATGGCAGGAGTTCTGCCATATGAACATACACTTACGTGTTCACGCAGATTGTGTGAGTGACGGGTACTACTGGTAGGGCTAGGCATACTTTCCATTGTCGCGAACCTAGTGTCATCACTGATACTCGAGACTGGTTGTTCTCTGGCGTCGACGTTATATATATTTACACAAGTTACCGTGAAATGTGATTTTCTTTCCAAAATAGATGTGAATATCAATTTGAAAGGGAAAGACATTTCAAAGCTTGAAGTAGACAACAACGCAGTAAAACAATATCAAGCTACCTTCGTCTGTCCTGACAATTGGATTGCTGTGTACACAGTTAAATATGTATGTCACCAAACCGTCATGCAGGTTCGGTTATAACTAGAGCCTTAAGATCACAGTAACGTTTGACAACAGTATTAACCCCGTGATGTACCTTTTTTAATCAATACAATACTACCCCGTTGTTCCTTTGCAAACAGTGGAGACGCTACGATAACAAGGATGCACACGGACGACATCATCGAGGCCGTCGAGGGCATGTCCCGCTTCCAGATCCTCATGGTTGTCTTCATATTCGGTCCAAAAATGCTGATGGCGTGGGGGATGTTGATGATGTCGTTTGCGGGGACTACTCCAGATTGGTGGTGTGTCCCAGCTACAGCGCCCTCTGTTGATGAGACCGACTACATGAACAACGTCACATTGAAATTGTGTCCCACCTCAGACAACATAACCTGTCAGATTGTGTACAGCCAGGATAAAAACACTGTCGCCAGCGAGGTAGGTAACCTTAATTCAGTCCAACTGCAACCGTGTAACATCTGAGGTGTTGTTGTGAGCCACAGTATGATATGGATGCAAACCAAACTTGCATAGCGAGCCACAGTATGAAATGGATGCAACCCACACTTATGTAGCGAGCAACAGTATGATATGGATGCAACCCACACTTATGTAGCGAGCCACAGTATGATAGGGATCAAACCAACACTTATGTAACGAGCCATAGTATGATATGGAACCAACCCACACTTATGTAGCGAGCCATAGTATGATATGGATCGAACCAACACTTATGTAGCGAGCCATAGTATGATATGGACCCAACCCACACTTATGTAGCGAGCCATAGTATGATATGGATGCAACCCAGACTTATGTATACATCCAGGATATAAATACTGTCGCCAGCGAGGTAGGTAGCCTTAATTCAGTCAAACTGCAACCGTGTATCATTTGAGGTGTGGTAGCGAGCCACAGTATGATATAGATGCAACCTACACTCGTGTAGCGAGCCACAGTATGATATAGATGCAACCTACACTCGTGTAGCGAGGCGAGCCACAGTATGATATGGATGAAACCCACACTTATGTAGCGAGCCATAGTATGATATAGATGCAACCCAAACTTTCTGAGCGAGCCACAGTTTGATATGGGTCCAACTTACACTCGTGTAGCGAGCCATAGTAGGATATGGATCCAACCTAAACTCGTGTAGCGAGCCACAGTATGAAATAGATGCAACCTACACTCGTGTAGCGAGGCGAGCGACAGTACGATATGGATTCAACCTACACTCGTGTAGCGAGCCACAGTATGATACAGATGCAACCCACAGTCATAGCGAGCCTCGGTATGCTATAGATACAAGCCACACTTTCGTAGCGAGCCACAGTATGATATGGACGCAACCCGCAGTCATGAAGCGAGCCTCGGTATGACATAGATCCACCCCACACTCTTGAAGCAAGTCCTTTCAGCTGTTGGCGATTTTTGACAAATCTAGCCACGATTTAAAGGAACATATATACTGCAATTAAAAAGGCGGCTGAAATGAATATACTTTGAAAGACATGGTCTTACATATCCTCTCAGGGGGACAATAATTTTACACTACTTTAACTCCCTTTGAGGATACAGCCACAAGCAATCTCAGTTATTAATTTTATTCAACCAATTATAAAAAAACACTGATTATGTACAGAATATATCATTCAAATTTTATGCAATAATTCAATTTCCTTTAAAAAAACGATGTCTGAATGAGAACTAAGATTAAAAAGATCCTTGAAGAATGAAACTTTGAAATAGTTATCCCTTGTGGTGGCAAAATTAATACAGTCAAGCAGGACATGCTTGACTGTGATTCTTTCATCGCAAGAGTTGCAAAACGGAGGATCGTCACCTTTCAACAAATACTCGTGTGTATATCTCCTATGGCCAATACATCGTCGCATAATGACCTCTTCAAATCTGGACTGATAGCCCAAGTAGGTATAACCGATAATTGGTTTAATTTCATTTAATTTTTTTATACCTACTTGGGTGTCCCACTTCTTCTGCATGAGATCCCTTATGTAACATCTAATAACAGGTTTATAATCACTGTATGGTATCAGAAGTGGTGTCACAGATTTGTTGAGAGCTGCTTTTGCATCGGGCATCAGCAATTGTGTTACCAATGATTCCAACATGGCTTGGTAACCAACAAAAAACAATGTCATATTGGCCAGTAGCAAGATCATTATACAATTCAATAATTGTGATTAAAATCGGATGCGTACCAGATAGATTGGTAATAGCTTGAAGGCAAGAGAGTGAGTCTGAAAATATAATGAATTGTTTGTGTTTTGATTGGTTATTGAAATATTCTAATGCTGTGAAAATGGCCTTTTCTTCGGCCGTAAAAATGGAACAGTTATCAGGTATTCGGTTTGATATAGTCCTGGATCCAATGACAGTGGCGCTGGCAACAGCGTCACCATCCTTGGATCCATCTGTAAATAAAGATTTGTAGGTATTGTATGAGGATCGTAGTTGATCATATTCTTGCATAACATTAGTTGATTTGTTTCAGATTTTTTTTTATAATTAGTGAGATACAGGTCTACTTCAGGCCTCACTAGTTGCCAAGGGGGAGTAGACAAAAGACGGCATGGGGATATTAAGTCTACGTCAATATTTGCATCTGCAATGTGAGACTTGATCCAAATGCCAAGTGGCGGTACAAGTTTTGGTTTGTTGTGAAACAGATCCTCATTAAGAGGATGGAAGACGCAGTTATAAGCTGGATTTGATGGGTTTGTACGCAATTTAGTTATATACTGAAGGGATAATTTTAGTCGGCGTTGTGCAAGTGAAGGCTCATCGTCCTCCACATGCAGACTATCTACAGGAGAGGTTCTAAATGCCCCAAGACAGAGCCGCAGTCTTTGATGATGTATGCTATCTAATTTCTCTAAATTACTTTAAGCAGCTCCACCATATACATTTGAACCATAATCTAGGTTAAATCTAATAAGGGATCTGTACAGGCGAAGTAAGGTTGACTGATGCCCACCCCACTTAGTATTTGCAACAACATTAAGTAGATCAAGAGCCTTCAAGCATTTAGTTATAAGCAATTAAATATGAGGTACAAACGTCAAGTGGCGATAAATAAGACCCAAGAACTTGGTCTCCTCAACAACCTTGATGGGGGCACCGTTTAACAATAGTTTCGTGTCTTTATGCGGTCTATAATTTCGACAAAAATGGATACAATTTGTCTTTGCTTTAGAAAATCTAAAGCCATTTTCAAGCAACCACTTTTGGGTTTTATTTAGGCAAATCTGCAGTTGCCTTTCTTTTGTATGAATGTTTTTGCCACGACAAGATATGTTGAAGTCATCTACAAAGAGTGACCCATCAATGGAGTCTTTCAATACCTTGGAGATACTGTTAATTTTAATGCTGAATAAAGTGACAGACAAAATACTGCCTTGTGGGACACCCTGATCCTGATTGTAATGATCAGACAGGGTTGAACCCACACGGACTTGACATTGTCTGTCAGTTAAAAAACTGGATATAAACTAAGGCAAACGACATCGCAATCCAAAATCATGAAGATCTTTTAAAATGCCATGCTTCCAAGTTGTATCATAAGTTTTTTTCTAAATCGAAAAAGATATATACAGCATGTTGGTTTTTTTAAATGGAATTTTGTATGAATGATTCTAAACGCACAAGATGATCAATGGTACTTCTATTTTTCAAACACCAAACTAATCGATTGTTCACCATACGCTCCATAGTTTTGCAAACGCAGCTAGTGTGAATGAGTGAGTGAGTTAAATTTTAAGTCACATCGGCAATATTTCAGCCATATCATGACTATCAATATTTAAACATAATACATATATTGAAACTTGTATAAAAACCTGTCAACGAAGAACAGTAAAATTACTAGATTCATCACAGAAAAAGATATAAAACTAGTACGGAAATATAAAAGAGAATAGCACTATACATAACAATACAAGATAAAAACAGGCTATAGATCGCCAGCAGCTGAAGGTAGACCACCATGACGGTAATTTGATGGATCTGTATGATCCCGTCCAGGTTTTGGTATAGGGACTACAATTGCATCATGCCACGAAGGAGGAAAAATCCCTGATGTCCAAATATCATCAAATATAGTTAAACGTGTCTGGAGACATGATTCAGGCAAATGGTTTAAAAGCTGATAATGAATATTATCAGCTCCAGTTGCAGTCTTTTCCAGTTGCTTAAATTTCTGAAATTTGGGATCATAAATGGATGATGAAGACTGCTTGGCTAAAGTTTCGCCTTATTTATTTGCTATGTCGGATTTATCCATTAATATATTATTACCATCTTTGATATGTTTAAAGCTGGATTTAGAACCCTTGCCTTTATTTCTTTAAATCATATGGCACAGTTTAGATATAGGTGTGCAGGAATTGATTCTAGAGACATAATGTCTTCAAGACTGACGTTTATTCTGTTTAAATGTTCGTCTTGCCTTTGCACTATTTATTTTTAAAATATTCAAATTATGGACCGTATAATTTCGACAAAAATGGATACAATTTGTCTTTGCTTTAGAAAATCTAAAGCCATTTTCAAGCGACCACTTTTGGGTTTTATTTAGGCAAATCTGCAGTTGCCTTTCTTTTGTATGAATGTTTTTGCCACGACAAGATATGTTGAAGTCATCTACAAAGAGTGACCCATCAATGGAGTCTTTCAATACCTTGGAGATACTGTTAATTTTAATGCTGAATAAAGTGACAGACAAAATACTGCCTTGTGGGACACCCTGATCCTGATTGTAATGATCAGACAGGGTTGAACCCACACGGACTTGACATTGTCTGTCAGTTAAAAAACTGGATATAAACTAAGGCAAACGACCTCGCAATCCAAAATCATGAAGATCTTTTAAAATGCCATGCTTCCAAGTTGTATCATAAGTTTTTTTCTAAATCGAAAAAGATATATACAGCATGTTGGTTTTTTAAAATGGAATTTTGTATGAATGATTCTAAACGCACAAGATGATCAATGGTACTTCTATTTTTCAAACACCAAACTAATCGATTGTTCACCATACGCTCCATAGTTTTGCAAACGCAGCTAGTGTGAATGAGTGAGTGAGTTAAATTTTAAGTCACATCGGCAATATTTCAGCCATATCATGACTATCAATATTTAAACATAATACATATATTGAAACTTGTATAAAAACCTGTCAACGAAGAACAGTAACATTACTAGATTCATCACAGAAAAAGATATAAAACTAGTACGGAAATATAAAAGAGAATAGCACTATACATAACAATACAAGATAAAAACAGGCTATAGATCGCCAGCAGCTGAAGGTAGACCACCATGACGGTAATTTGATGGATCTGTATGATCCCGTCCAGGTTTTGGTATAGGGACTACAATTGCATCATGCCACGAAGGAGGAAAAATCCCTGATGTCCAAATATCATCAAATATAGTTAAACGTGTCTGGAGACATGATTCAGGCAAATGGTTTAAAAGCTGATAATGAATATTATCAGCTCCAGTTGCAGTCTTTTCCAGTTGCTTAAATTTCTGAAATTTGGGATCATAAATGGATGATGAAGACTGCTTGGCTAAAGTTTCGCCTTATTTATTTGCTATGTCGGATTTATCCATTAATATATTATTACCATCTTTGATATGTTTAAAGCTGGATTTAGAACCCTTGCCTTTATTTCTTTAAATCATATCGCACAGTTTAGATATAGGTGTGCAGGAATTGATTCTAGAGACATAATGTCTCCAAGACTGACGTTTATTTTGTTTAAATGTTCGTCTTGCCTTTGCACTATTTATTTTTAAAATATTCAAATTATGGACCGTAGGGTGTCGGCGGAAAAACTTTTCTACCTTTTTCCTACGCTTTCAAGCCTGATTGCAATCGTCGCTAAACCATGGTTTGGGAATGTGCGGGTTCACAGAGGACTTAGGAATGGTTTCATCAGCTATGTGTTTTAACTGTTCTGAGAACATCTGTATAGGGCCTGGAATGTTATGGAAAGTTTCTGGTTTTAGTGTTTCAAAACAACGAGTATGAAATAAGGGCCAATTTGCTCTATTAAAATTCCACCTTGTTGAAGGTGGCTCATAAGTTGGAAGAATAGTTTTTAGTAATGTGGGAAAATGGTCACTTCCACACAGGTCATCATGAACTGACCAGTCAAATTCGTTCAGCAAATTGGCATCTGTAAGTAACAGATCCAATGCTGAATAAGTCCCTGTTGCAGGATGTAAGTACGAGTTTGAACCATCATTAAATATACACAAATTATTGTTTGTTATAAAATCTTCAAGGACCGTGCCCTTAGCGTTGGTATCATCACTTCCCCACAGAGGGTTATGTCCATTTAGGTCACCCATAATGACACAGGGTTGAGGGAGTTGGTCAAATAAAGGCTGAAGATCAGCCTGCTGAAGGGGAGAAGATAGTGGAATATACAAAGAGCAAAGTGTGAAGGCGATGTGAAATGTTAGCCGGACTGCAACGGCTTGAAGATTGTTGGTAAGATGAATTTCTCTATGGATTATGTCCTGTCTCACCAAGATTGCAGAACCTCCAGTGGCTTTTGCTCCTGGAGGGGAGAAGAGATTATACATGTTATATTTCCTGACATCACATTTATCTGTGTTCTTAAGATATGTTTCTTGTAAACACAAAGCTGATGGTTTAAAATCTTGAATTAAAAGCTGTAAATCATTAAAATTATTCCTAAATCCTCTACAATTCCATTGAATTAAGGTGTACGATTGAGTCATGGTGGCTCAATCGGTTAACACTCACGTACACGTGAGGAGGAAGGACTCTACTCTACTACTGCTCTGTGACGATGGGGTTACATCCATGTCCAGAGCATCAAAGGAGTTCTGGACAACTATCTCTGAAGATGAGTAGTTCCTGGTTATCTGTTTTTTAGTACTTTTTTCCTTTCTTTTCTGGTCAAAGGTTGAATGTCTGGTTCTACAGCATTAGATTCTTTAGTGACAAGCACTTCAGCAGCAGACACCGTATTGTCTGGTTCAGAGAGATTCACAGTTTGGGTGGAAGATGTTTTAGAAGTTATGCTGACAGGTTGATCTGACTTAACCCAGGACAATTCTGTCTGAATAGAGATTGATGAAGTTTGTGTAACAGTACGAGCAGCAGCTGCAGAATATGTTTTATTTAGTGATGTTGGAGGAGATTTGTTCTCAACAAGTTTCTTTGCCTCTTGAAATGAAATGTTTTTTTCATGTTTGACCTTCAGAATTTGTGATTGGGTTTGCCACACAGGACATAACCTTGAAGAAGCCAGATGTTGTCCTTTACAATTTGCACATTTTATCTCTGCATCACAATCTGTGTTCTCATGTCCACCGCCGCAACGTTGACATATTACAGAGTGGTTACAATATTTTGAGCCGTGACCAAACTTTTGGCACTTGAACCACCGGAGTGGATTAGGGACATACACCTCCACTCCAATGTTCAGATAACCAGCTTTAATAGACTTAGGAATTGTTGAAAGTGCAAAGGTAAACAGATATGTGTTGGGCGGGATGATGTCACCGTCTCTAGACTTCATAGTGAAACGATTTACTGCTATCACTCCTTGTGTTCTTAATTCTTCTGGGGAGGTTGGGTAGCATAGTGGTTAAAGCGTTCGCTCGCCACGCCGAAGACCCGGGTTCGATTCCCGACATGGGTACAATGTGTGAAGCCCATTACTGGTGTCCCCCACCGTGATATTGCTGGAATATTGTTGGCATATTGCTAAAAGCGGCGTAAAACAGTACTCACTCACTCACTCACTCACTTAATTTTTCTGCCAGCCTGGTTCGGCCAATGACAGTAAATTGGAGACAGACAGCACTCAGATATGTATGGGTGCAACCCACATTTGTGTAGCGAGCCATAGTATGATATGGACGCAACCCACACTCATAAAGCGAGCCATAGTATGATATGGATGCAACCCACACTCGTGTAGCGAGCCATAGTATGATATGGATGCAACTCACACTCGTGTAGCGAGCCATAGTATGATATGGATGCAACCCACACTCGTGTAGCGAGCCATAGTATGATATGGATGCAAACCACATTCGTGTAGCGAGCCATAGTATGCTATGGAAGCAACCTACACTCGTGTAGCGAGCCATAGTATGCTATGGATGCAACCCACACTCGTGTAGCGAGCCACTGAATGATATGGATTGGAGCAACCCACGTCCGTGTGGCGAGGGGGAAACCTTTGAACACTGCATCTCAGTATTCACTTCCTGACATTACCATCGAAAAATGCGTTGGGTCATCGGGAGAAACGAGAAACTGTTACTAAGATACTCTACTGCAGAGATGAAGTACTTAGTATCTTGTTGATCATACAGGAATAGAAACAGGGTACCCTATTCCAGTGTCATAACACAGAACATATTGTATATAACTCATCGTTCCAAGTGAAATATTTGTAGATGCTCTAGATCGACGTGTTCGACTTCGATCACAACAGGCAGTGTTTGCATCCAAGGCACTTGGAGGATATACACGACATGTGTAACCTTTTTCTGTGTTTTTTTGTCTGATATAACTCTCGCCTTTTGAGCTAGCCGTCAAATCAGCCGTACAGCTGCCTATACCAATAAAGCGACAAAACCCTTTCCATATGCAATAGATATATCTGAATAAAGCAAAGGAATTGTACAATTCCGATCTTATCGTGAGCGTGTGTTTATGAATCACAATCAAATAGTGATGATATCAGGTGATCTCAAAAGGCGAGTGTATCCTTCCCCACTGTTGGCACCTGTTACAAACACATACAAAGGCAAGTCAATTGATCACCTGAAAAAACAAACCCAAAACATGGGAAAATATGGTACAAGTCTAAATAGGGAATTGCATTGGACATCATTGTTGGCACTGATGTGTGAAATTTGGAAACGTTGTCCGCATGCCTACCATACAACTTTTGTTGTAACATGATCAAAGAAGTTCTAAGCAAGAGTCGTATGAGCTCTTTGAAATCTTGGTCGAAGAAGCATGCTCGATTGTATCTCAAAAGTTCTGTATCTTTATGCATAGATCTAAATATGAAACATATGAGGCGGTCTCACTGGTCTCCTTATTTAATTCAGACGTGTAAATCAGTGGAAGGGAATTGGCTACTAGTATTTGATTGCTATTGAAGCCTAGCTGCATAATCAAATGAACTTAACAATTTATGTTTATGTAAATGTATACTACAAAGCCACACATTACCTAGGTTCAGTTGATCAACTCATAACTGCCATCCTATCTCATCTTATCTCATCAACATTTCAACAAATCAAATGTCTTTTTTTTCTTGCAGTGGGATCTCATATGTGACCAGAATATTCTCAAGTCCATTATCACATCAGTTCAAATGGCCGGAGTGTTCTTTGGGGCACTGTTTGGCGGACAGTCTGCTGACGTCCTCGGTCGGAAGTGGACTTACTTCATCAGCCTGGTCCTTCAAAGTGGATTCAATCTGGTGGCAGCATTCTCCGTCAACTGGCAGATGTTTACAGTGTTGCGTTTTCTCATCGGGATGACGATTGGCTCTCTTCTGGTTGTAAGCTACCCGTATTTCATGGAGTTCATTGGAAGGAAATGGCGACCAATTGCATCGGCAATGCCAGTCTGGGTAACGGGTGTATGTGTCTTTGCCCTGTCGAGCTGGTTGAGGCCTGACTGGTCTCATCAACACATCATATTGGCTGCCCTTCATCTCCCCTTCTTCGCCGGATGGTTGTAAGTATCCCGGTATCCCGAAATTAAGCCTGAGAAAGTTGGAACTCAAATTATGATTGGCGATATATAGTGATTGCCAATGTTCAAATTCAAAAAGTGTCATTTACGTTCTGCATTATTCAAAATATGTTCAACTATCTAATAGTCACCAAAGGAGATTCGGTTCCTCGTGCAAATAAACGGGATACATCTCCTCCCACATTCCACGACTCTGAATACATCCTGAATCCCTATCACAAAGTAATGACACAATGTGTTCATTTAAAGATAAAGGGATCCTGCCCTACCGGTGGCTCTCATCAAAAGCACACGCATGTGAAGTAAACATGGGGTAAAACACGAGAACATATGATACAAGTCAAAATTGGGAATGTCATCGAACATCCTTTTCGTCACTCATGCATCAATTTCTTTTCTATATCAGTTTTCCTTCTTCATATATTTTTTTTCCATTATTATTCATCATTAGTGTTAGACTTAAAGGTTGGGTATTTTCATTTTTGGTTTTCGAAAAGGAAGGATTTCGCTCTACCATTCTCAACCATATTCGTTCAAAATAAGATCTTGAAAATATAGCTAATGCTTTAACCAACCATTTTTTAGTTTTACTGATTTAATTCCACCGACGCTGCCAGCTTTGTCCCAGAGAGTATGCGCTGGTTGGCTGTAAAAGGGCGGACTGATGAAGCTGAGAAAGTCGTGGATCAGATGAGTCGATACAACAAAAGACAGAAGCCCACCAACACACTGCAGCTGCTGAAACAAGTGGCAGAAGAAGAGCAGAAACTGAGAGCGTCTGGCAGCAGGTACACCTACCTTGACATCTACAGGGGCTGGAGCATCTGCTGGAAGTCTCTCGTCATACAGTTCATCTGGTGAGTACAGAAGTGGATCGGGTATGAGAGGGGGTAGATACTATTCTGTGTACCTTGGTATATGGAGATGGAGCGATGAAACGGAATACATGTGTTAAGTGAAGAAAAGATGCCAAAATTTACAAATACTTGGCATGGTGTGACACATTGTTGTACAAAATACCCAAGCGGTTCTATGTTAGACCAGTTTATTTACAGGGGAAGGATATGGAAAAAGCCAATGAGTCGAATAATTTCGACATGCCTTGCCTATAAGCATCAAAGATGAGGGCAATTTTCCTCTCGTAAAAAGCTGACGCTCGTAATATCACGGAAATATTGTTCACAGATGTGTTAAATTACTCAAAAATGAAGAGGAATGCCTTTCTTTCCGATTGTGATCTGCATTTTATCTCTGAAAAATCGACAAACTGGTGTCGTTTTGTTGGTGACATTTTATAAAGGAAATTACACAATAATTTGTCCTGCAGGATGTGCATGTCGCTGGTGTACTATGGGATATCGTTCGGTGCAGTGAGACTCGCAGGCAACCTGTATCTGAACATCTTCCTTCTGGCAGTGGTGGAAGTGCCAACTACTGTGTTGACTTTCTTCACAAACAACAAGTAATCTCATCTCTAGGTGTATTTGTTCGCATGTTATTTAACCGCATATTCAGTATTATTCCAGGCAATGCTCTGCACATCGATCCTGGCCCGGATGATTCAGTGACTGATATTATGGACAATGGTCCACACTGTTGGGTGCGAAGACACCCTCTTAACCAAGTCAAGGAGACTGACCAGCCGATCCATGAGTCGCTTTGTTGTTGGCAATGTGTTCTAAAGCTCACTCGAGGCCATGGGTAGCCAAGTCTTCTAAGGCACTGCCAATCGCTGTGCAGAGTTGCGTCCCCTGGGCACGCCAGAAACCTATGATCGTGGGTTCGAATCCCGTTTTGCTCTGGATATATTCTGGGTTTGTCAGCACCACCTCCGTGCTGATGGGTTTCACCGAAGTGATAAACGTCTGAGACCTGCATCACTGCAGGCTTTCCTTCTACATCAAGCTGACACGCCGTGATATAACTTGAATAGTGTTCAAAGAAGTATTAAACCCAACTCACTCACTCACTCCGGCTTCCAACGGGTATCATCACAAGATAAAACTGTTTCTCCCAATGTTGTGTGAATAGGAGATCAGCGGGTACTTTTTATTGTTTTTATAAATCGTTGGCCTGGTCTCAAGACAATAGCATTGACACATGTTGTGGCATTAGAATTAAATTCAGCTCGTGGACAAGGCCGCTTGAAATCACAGGTTAATTTTCTTAAGCCAATACGTAGGGTAAAGAAGGTCAAAATGTGTTACTCGTGTCCTACTTGTATGTCTGAAAAAAACATCGACAACACCCTGGTACTGTTGGATTCATAAAGTAAAAAATAACAATTTTGTTTTCTCATGTTACTCAAATGCAACTCCAGGTGTAAATACCTTTGTTATCAATCGACTGTCTGTATCATCCTCTGAAGCTTCCAGATGATGACATCTTCATAACTGAAGATGACCGCATCTATCATATTTAAAGAAGGTTTCAAAGTCGAGTTTAGAAAGAAACAACAACGGCATCTATCTGAAGTAGTGAGTTGTCCCTTAGTGTACATGCACGCCAGGGAATAACTAGTCTAGAATAGATACCGAAAGAGATACCTTTGGGAGTAAAAGGCAATGTAATGGCGAAATCATATGAATAGATAACTGAAAATCAGTTATGACATCAGGTGTCCCGCGAAAAGGGTAGGCATGTCCTGCTCTCCACATCCACATTTTCAAAGAAGAATGTGGGTTTCTTTTCAGTCTTCACCCATTCTAGCAGCTTCTACTCCCAATTGTGTACGACAAAAGTTGTGTAAACAGTGCTGCCGGTGGTTTTGTGCTTCATATTACTTCCAGACAGTATGGCTATTCTTATATGTTTTGTAATGAATCCAGCTCATATATTCATATACATGTACACGTACAATACTAACATCATGTCCGTTTGTTTGGTTAACCCCATTTCTCATGCTTGAAATATTGTTGATAAGACGTTACGTTTGAACTCGTTCACTCATCAACCTCATTGCTTATGTTTCGTAGATTTGGTAGAAAATGGACAGGGATTGGTTTCTTTGCTGTTGCCACTTCCGCTGCTTTTGGTGTTGCAATCATTGCGAAAACAGGTGCGGTTTGTAATGGCAAAGTTCATTTGTCCGTCCTACTGTCATGAATTGAACTGCATGACAAATTGATATGTGCCAGTGAAATATATTTTAGGATCTGCAGTTCACCTTTTGAGTCCTACACATCAGTGCATTGTTGACTTCAGTAGACGTCATACTGGAACTATTAACTGTCGCCTTATTTGTAACATCATTCATGACGTACTTTCTCTACAATTCAGTAAGAAGTGGTAATTGATTTATCTTTGTTATCAACAGTCGTGCTTGATTTAGCTGTGCTCTCAACATGATTGATACTGTGAATTTATAGTGATGTGCGATTTAGCTGTGCTCTATCATTCAGCAGTACCGTGAATATGAAGTGGTGCGCCAGTTAGCTGTGCTGTCACATTTATCAGTACCGTGATTATGAGGTAATTTTCGATTTAGCTGTGTGCTCTCAAATTAATCAATACCGTGAATATGAAGTGGTGCTCAATTTAGCTGTATTATCACATGAATCAGTACTGTGATTATGAGGTAATTTTCGAATTAGCTTTTCTGTCAAATTAATCAATACCGTACGTATGTTTCAGTCTCAAAAGACGAACAGGGAGTCATCATTAACCTCTTGGCTCTGGTGACCAAACTCGGTGTTGGTGGAGCTTGGGCTGCCTACGGGTTGTTGGCAAGTGAGACGTACCCTACTGTCATAAGGTACAGTACACGTTATAATTCAGGACATGATGTCTCTATCGTATGTGGCTGATAAATAGCGTTATTCACGAAGTACATAATTGGACTTTGACGTGACAACCAATAACGTTCAGCTATCATACAGCCCTTAATATTTGCCAAAATTGTGGTAATGTATTTTCAATGTTTTGTTTACATTTCCTACAGAAATTTGGGTTACGGAGCAGCTAATTCAGCAGCCCGAGTTGGTGGCATGATCGCTCCATACGTCTTTGCAGGGGTATGTTTATTGTTTATTGTTCAGTAAAGTTCATTGAGCCGATGCCGTGGGGATATTTGCTGACTGTAAGATGTCGGACATTCTTTTCAACTGTATAGAAATATCTTCCTTTGTGCAAAAGTGGCATGGATGGTAAATAACTCTAAGGTGTCGCAATTCGCTGTGCAGAGTTGTGTCCCTTGGACACGCCAGGAACCTAAGATCCTTGGTTTTAATCTCGGTTTGCCCCGATTATGTTTCTAGGTTAGTCAACTTGTGGTAAACGTCTAACACCTGCATCACCTCGGGCATTCCTCCCATATTAAGCTGACACATTGTGATATAACTGGAATACTGTTGTAAGCAGAAGTCACTCCCCCGAGTCTAGTTATGAAAGTGACATTTTGTTTTGTGTAAGATCTAATTGTTATATTCATATAGCGTTGATGATACTGAAATAACTATTGGTATTCAGGCTTTTTTTATTTTATGAATGACATGAATGATACTCAGCTCCGTCATCAGGTGACTGTCATTCAACTTTGCCAACGGATATAGTTATTATCACATAGAGCAGTGTGGACAAAACGTAACAAAAAAAAGAATTTTGCATTGATTTGTCATACATCCCACTAGAGCATTCAATACGCTTCCAAATATGTGTCCACTCACCGTCTATTAGACATAACACAACTAAATTTGAGACATTAATGTAATATGCAAATATTGCCTGGTACATTATGAAAAAAATCATCAACGACTAGTGTGTTAGATTTTGACATAACATAACACCACTGCAGATGAAAACCTTCAATTTAATTTTTACAGGGAGATGGTGACCTCGTGGTGCCTTTCGTCATTGTTGGTTCGACCATGGCCGTCTGTGGAGTGTTATCTGTCGTAATGAAGGACACGAAGGACCAGCCCCTGGCTGACACCATGGGGGGTCAGGTGAACACACGCGGGGATGTGATGATGGTGGCGATCCCAGAGGACATAGAAAACACCAAGCTTTAGCCAGTTTGACTTGAATAAATTAAGCCAGGCGTTGAAGCCTGGGGAGATTTATTCGTGTGTGTATCTGTTGATGGCAAAATACATCTTGTTTTAGGGTTAAAACTTGAACTTTTCATGATTCAGCGATGACAAAAATGTGTGAAACCGACTTGATCTTTGCCACGTGTTTGGTCATCACAGTGCTTAACAAGACGATGTGACACAAACCAGAGATTTATAAAAAATCCTTGTGCGTTAACAGTGCCAGTATCGTGATACGGGTTAAAGCCATTACTTGATGTCCTTTGCAAATCGCCAACCGTTTTCAGAGCATTTATCCTGGAAGACATGCATTGTCAGAACAATCTGTTTCTTGGGGTATTGGCATATATCATTAACGTGCATGTTCAGAGACATAGTATCTTCAGAACGACCAGACTGAAGTCCCATCTTTTGTGCTTAACGCAGCTGAAATAGTCAGAATCGTACAATTTACTCTTCTTTCAGCAGAGATATCTTATGAATATGGAAAGAGTCTTGTCGCTTTTATTTGATATCATTGATATCGGGGGAGGGGGTCATTGGTCCCCAGCTGCAGCATCTTATGTTTGTCGCTTATGGGTTCGATGCCTATCTTGATTGTACTTGTCATCGTACGTCAAGGGTGTGTGTCGTTTCCCGCAATATTAAACATCTGGTTTTTTTCATAATTCGCATCGGTGACATGTTAGCCAGGTATCATTGGTGTGTTGTCTCTGTGATATCGATTGATGGACAACCACAAGAAACATGAATAAGTACATATGAGCCAGATACTGTAAACATGAGATAAACATTTGCATGTTAGGGACCGACCGTTTGATATTCCGGAATGAGCCTCGAATTTCAGTGAAAAAATACATTGTCCCAAGAAAATGCTTTAATAAAATATTCATGCTTCAGACTGTTGAAAGAAAATAAGATAATCTGTCACAAAAAGACCATTGTTGCAAAGTGTTTATATTTAGGCTCATAGTTATAATTAGAAACACAGTATCTGGTTATGCAAATGTAGCTGAAAAAAAATACCTACATGTAATCTCCATTCAAATCAGATAAGGGTTCTTGATAATGCTTATACTAGTATATATGAAGTTTGAGCCACATAACACCCATAACATCAGCTGAACGATCTAACCTAAATAGAACCGTTTTGACACACACTGTTGTGTTACATTCAAAGCTATGTATGTGAGCCCTTTGAGACAGGGAAGGGAGTGACAGAGAAGAACGCTGTTGACAAGGCACGCTGACCTTCTCACACACCACAGCAGGTCTGACAACAGGTAGGTGAAAGTTGAGAGGGTAACTATAAGCTGATATTACGGAGTATGTTTTTACAGTTTGTGTCATGACATTAGAGGGATAGTGATAGAGATAGGGATTGTCCAACACGAAAACCATGGATTTAGATTCAGCTGTTGTTCTGATCGCTTGATCCAAGGCTTATCGTTGGTTGGTTCTTATTGGGGACTTGTGTTTTGAACCGGCCCCTACATAATAAAAGGCCTGCCGCTTCTTTCATTATTGCAAAACTTCCATAACCAGCCCGACGCTTAATAAAGGACATACGGTTTACACAAAGGCTAAATAAATGCGATCATGATCTTTGTATTTCATGTTGGTGCTATTTAGACGCACATATTACCATTAATGTAAACTGTACCGTATTTAGTTAGACGTAATATCAATTCTTATTTTGATAGAATTTTACAGGCCGCTGGTTGGAGTTCTTCTGTGTCGCCTCTGACGCATATTTCTTCACGCACATTGAGTGAACGGCGGATGCTACCGCCAGGGCGAAAATGCTTACCCTTTTCGCGAACACCTGGTGTCAAATAGTTTCCTCAGCTATTTTGCCTTTTAAGACCGAATATTTTTCGACGGTTATTCGAGACTGGTTGATCTCTGGTGCAGACGTTTATATTTACACAAATGACTGTGCACACAGTTATAAATCAATGCCATAAATACGTCAGGCATGTACAGTTGTATATTAATCCCTAAGTAAAGTTTGCCATGGAGAATATTACAAGTGTGAATTCTGCATTCCTAAAACTTATTTGTCCTAATAAGGGACGTCAAAGTTTAATATGAAAGGGAAAGACATTTTAAGGCGTGAGGTACACAACAATGCTGAAAACCAATGTCAAACTACCTTCGGCTGTCTCGACAATTGGATTGTTGTGTCCACAGTGAAATATTTATGTAATCAAAACCTCAGGCATGTTCAGTTATATATAGATCCTTCAGATCACAGTTACGTTTGCCATCTCTCAGCATTATGATTGATATTATTAGCAACGCCCCACACAGCCCTTGTACGATGACATGACAAATCAACTGAGTCACAGAGTATGATGACCAAATGATTACGACCTCTTTTCTGACAAGTTTGTGGATTTAACCAAATGGTAAATGTCTGAGACCAGCATCACTTCGGTCTTTCCTCCAACTTAAAGCTGACACACCATGATATAACAAAGATACTGTTGAAACGGCGTCCATTCACAGTTTCGACAAGCATGGGTGGACTAGGGGCCTTCTCTTATCCGGCATCTGGGAATGACTGTCGCTCGTTCCGATTGCATAGAATGGTATTTTAAAATTGGTATTTAATGTGTTTTGTATGAAAACGCATGAAGTATGCTCTATTGCTATCACTGGTTTTTCTCGTCCATACTCGATTATTTAAAGACTGGCGTGTTTGAACCTGGAGTGGAGTGCGACCTTAAACTAACAGATATGCAATGATTTCTTCTTTCAGTGGGGTTTCATTTGTAACCGCAAAATGCTCAATCCTCTCGTCACATCAGTACAAATGGGTGGAGTCTTTGTTGGGGCATTGCTTGGCGGACAGTCTGCTGACGTCCTCGGTCGGAAGTGGACTAACTTCGTCTGTCTGGTCCTTCAAAGTGGGTTCAAACTGGTGGCAGCGTTCTCCGTCAACTGGCAGATGTTTACAGTGTTGCGTTTATTCATCGGAATGATGATTGGCTCTCTTCTGGTTGTAAGCTACCCGTACCTCCTTGAGTTCGTTGGAAGAAAATTTCGACCACTTGCATCGGCAATTCCAGTCTGGCTAACAGGTGTATGTGCATTTGCCCTGTCGAGCTGGTTGAGGCCTGACTGGTCTCATCAACACATCATATTGACTGCCCTTCATCTGCGCTTCTTCACGGGATGGTTGTTAGTATCTCAAATCGAGAGTGAGAAATTGTCAGAGCCTCCATCCAACCCACGAAAGGTTGACTGCTAAGCCTTTCATGAAATGTTTCATCATTATTATCCAAATATGTCAACATGATAGTCCTACACTATAAAACAAATGAATTTTTGCATGAGCTTACACTTTTTGAACTGACTATGCTACCTTCAGGACATACCAATATAGTCCGATCATTTAAAGCCACATTCAGCAAAATACCACCTATATGACAATGGCCAGTAAATGATGACAACTAGGCTACACAAAGCAGTTCTTGAGCAGTCCGTTTAGATCGCTTTCATGGTCTAGTGGATAGAGCTTCTACACAGAGAGCGGAAGGTCATTAGCTGCCTGCAGCGTCATAGCATAAGAAGTTAAACGATGGTAGTTGTTGTTACCCTGCCTGGCGCTCAGCATAAAGGGGATACAAACAAGGATCAGTCGGCTCGGAGTTTGCATAATTTGCCTCAGTGGAGTAACTATGTTGAACATTGGCATTGTATCTCACTGCATTGGGCTAGGGGACTAGGACGATAAAACATTAGTTTGGACCTGAACAAGCAGCCACACATACATGCACGCAGGCACGCACGAAAACACACGTACGCACGAAGTTGTCTTCTTTCTTTAATATTTCACTTGCACGTCTGTGAAAGGCTAATGTTACTTGTAAGAGGCATCCGAAGAGGTGAAGGTGTCACAATCTCACCAAAAGCCCATTAATTAGTGCATGCATGTCACCGTATAAGTATAATAACCTTGAACGCAACTAAACCACATTCATAAACATAGCCTGTAAGGGCCCCTCTGTGTTTCATTGTTGAATTAGGGGTATCTCAAGTTCATCAAAATTAGCGAATTTGGAAATAAAATACAAAGCCATTGTTAATGCTTTTCACATCCCTATTCCCTAACTATTGGACACTGCCAGCTTTGTCCCAGAGAGTCTGCGCTTGTTGGCTGTAAAAGGGCGGACTGATGAGGCTGAGAAGATCGTGGATCAGATGAGTGGATACAACAAAAGAGGGAAGCTCACAAACACACTGCAGCTGCTGAAACAAGTGGCAGAAGAGGAGCAGAAACTGAGGGCGTCTGGCAGCAAGTACATGTACCTTGACATTTACAGGGGCTGGAGCATCTGCTGGAAGTCTCTCATCATACAGTTCGTATGGTTAGTATAGTTAGTTGGTTTGTTGCTGACAAACCCAGGGCCGTAAATAGAGTTAATCTGGATATAGAAGCTCAGGTCCACAGATCCTGCCACAACAAAGGGACAATACTCAGAAAATTTGGGCAACTCTGATTTCTGGATAATCGATTGTTAGTTTTAAGATGGCGCGAGAAGGGCATTAGATATGTTGTTTGTTAATTTTCAACATAGGAATTACAGTTCTCCAACTAGATTTATAAAATTATATTTTGGCTAAAATATCTTGATGATAATGGTAACATTACATGGGCATCACATATTAGAACGATTTTTTTCCAGTTTGGATTTGGTTTTGTTTGGCTAAGCCAAGACATTGGAAATATTCAACATTTTATGACAGATTTTAAACGAAGATTTTACGACTGCCTCACTAAATATTGGCACTTTTCCCTGACATCATCAACGGAAATCCAATTACTAGTCACAGTTAAACTCATTACTAAATGTGGAGTCATATGTTACTTGTGATATTACTTCTTACCAACGTTGACTTATAGCCATGTTCCGGTGTAATAATTTCAGACTTGCTGTTGAACTTGGGCGTCACAACAACGCCCCATATAATGAACGTGTCTGCACTTTCTGT